TGTTCCTCCTTCAAAAACTACTGGTCCAATTTCATCCAAGCATTACAGGAACCATCAGTTATTCTTCTAGTACTTGAGCATATTTAACAGGTTTTCTGGTTGAATGATTTTTGGCTGAGTTATGGCCCTTGAATAAAAAAGTGTATAGGCCTTCATTCAAAATTCTGAAGCATACTGTGCCTTTCTATATATTTAAAAGCAAAATCTTCTATAATGAGCTAACTGTGAAATGATTTCAATGTAGTATTATTTTGTCAATTAATTGAAACCTGACCAAATAGATATTTAATGCCAAAGTTACAAACTTTCTGTAGCCTGTTTTTATAATTCCCTGACTGAAACAAATAAAACAAGAAGTAAATTGTTCCTGCAAATAATACAAATCCATTTAAAGAGACTATTTTGATTTGATGAAGAAATTGCTTCTTCGTAATCCCAGCCTTTCCCCGGTTATTGTCATTTTAATGCGCTTGAAAATTGTTTATATGCATTGTTTAGTTTTAAATCACATAGAATTAATGATCAACTTTCAGTAACGTGAGCTTAGGAAATACCATAAGCAGCTTATGTTATAGACAAATTATTTTTCTCTGGCAAATACTGACACTGTTTATATTGTTCATTTGATACAAAAGTATGTTATATGTTTTAACTGTACAACAACCATAATTCTGAAAGCTATAATTTTGGAATAATGCCTCTTTTTGAAATAGATTTTTTTTCAAAATTTGTTGTTGATAGTTGTTGCCCCTAACAGACGTGCGTTAACACCACATATGGTGCTCTTGTTATTTATAGCATATGACTCGAAATTCATTATTTTATCACATTTCAATCCTGACTAGTCTGTAAAGAAGGAATTATGGGTTATTTCTGTATATATTTTGACACTTTGTTCATAATTCTGAAAGCAATATAGTTTTGGAGTTATGGCCCTTTTTAACTTAAAATTTTTAACAGACCCGTACTGACATCATATGCGGTACTCTTGTACAGTACATGTATGGAAAGCTGAATGATATATGTAAATTCAATTAATAGAGTATAATTTGATACCTCCAGATAATTTCCAATTATTTACAAGACAATATGTTGTGTTATTCAAGACAAAAGGGCAGACTTTTTACAGAGAGTTGCTGGGTATTGATTTCCAATCTACATTCTATTGTTTTATGATTGCATTGCCCCCTCTTTCAGTGTATAATTCGGTGTTAAATTAAGTTTTATGAAATACAGTAAATATAATGATAAAGGATAGTCATGTTTCACACTGGTAGACCGGTAATCATCAGTTGCGGATAGGTCACTTAATGATCAACTGTACCGGAAGTTTGATGAATTTTGGTGAAAAGACTTTATATCACATAATTATTTAAAGTTGTATAAGATTTTATTTTGTGCACAATAAGGCGCTCTTTTGTTTACAGTCCTAATTTGATAAAACTATTATGTGATAACAGCTCCCTTATCATTCCAAAGCATCTTTTTTACATCTGCAATACAATGTATGAATATACTAGACAATGAAGTATTCAGAGTACCTGTCTACAAGGGTGGATGTCATTTGCACTAAAAGCTTGTGTCTTTAATGGAGAAAACTTATGCTAAATTAAGTACTGTTTCTGTAAATTAAGAGAAATGTGTGTTTTTAAGGCAATAAAACAGGCAGGGGTTTTATTGGTTTGGCTGTAAGATTACACACATCAGTTGTATATTTGCTGTTAAAGCTTTTAAAATTGATGTTTTATCTGTAAATAGGCATTCAACGTTGACATTTTGTTTATTGGTTATTTTACATAAATGAAATTAAACTGTTTACTTTGAGACTGTTTTAAGGTTGTTTTTCAAGAAAACTTGTCTAATATTTAGGAGCTTAGAAGTAATAGAGGTATTAAAATGTGTCGATACATTAGTTTTATTGAGGTGCGTTTCTGAAATGTTTTTGGCTAAAAAGATGAATGTGATGTTTTATAGCGTTGTTATTGACATGTTTTCTGTATAATTGAGCCGCGTCATGACAAAACCAACATAATGGGTTTGCGACCAGCATGGATTCAGACCAGCCTGCGCATCTGCGCAGTCTGATCAGGATCCATGCTGTTTGCTATCTGAGTTTCTTTACTTGTTATAGGGTCTGTAAGGGAACAGCATGGATCCTGATCAGACTGGGCGGATGCCCAGGCTGGTCTTGATCCATGCTGGTCACAAACGCATTACGTTGGTTTTGTCATGGCACGGCTCATATATATCCATCCCACCAAATTTAATATAACAACAAAATTAATAATCATTCATAAAGAAAGCAAAAAGTTGTTTTTAGGTTTTAATCTGTAGAATTTGACTAGGTGTACATTTGTAAATTCTAAATGATATTGCATCACACTTAAAACAATAGAAATATTTGCCAAAAAAAAAAAGAAAGCAGAAAACCAATTTATGAAATTGCAGTGAAAAATAATTTTTTCCAGTGAAAATATGGAAAATGAAAATATTCTTTTTATTTCATCAATATTTTTCAATTTTTCATTTATAAGTATACTGTATAATATAAAGCATCATTTGGGATATTATATCATGTTGTTTTACATCTTCCAAACTGAATGAAATTCAAATTAATATAAGTGTATTTAATAAATTTAGAAACAAAAATGTGAATTGTTCAAGTTAAATGAGGTAGATATTTCTACAACTTTAAGAATTTAATCTTGATATACAATTGATATATAAGAAACTGTTTTTGAAAAAAATAAAAAATAATAATGTACGTTACTGTACTGTTTTTGAAAAGAATTTTATTTTTATTTACGCGTACAATATCTATTTATGGTATTATTTTTTAAAAGAATTTAAATTTAATGAAAAATTGATGTACAAGGTATTATATTGAAAACAAATTGTTTATAATAATATATCATTTTGATTTATATCTGGTAAACACATTACAAGTTATTTTTAGGCATTAACTTTCCAAAAAAATGTGAACAAATTGTTGTAGTAACATTTCATTGACAATTACTTGAATGTTGAACGCACCTTTATCCTTTGATAGAAGCACCTGTTAACAAAGTTGTGAAGGAAAAAAAATGAAATGAACTTGGCAGCTAATAAACCACCAAGAGCATTGCTGATGAATGATAATTGATAAAAGTGCAGTATCTTCTTGTAAGAGTTCTTTCCCTTGTTCAGTTAGATCGCCCAAGACCCGAAGAGTGACCTCCCTTGATATTACTTTTTATATGGAAAATTGAAAGTTCTAAACTTAGTTGACGTACATTTTCATGTCATTATGTGTACATAAATGTTAATTTTTTGTCAAAATTTTTGAAATGAGAAAAAAGTGGAATGTTAGTTTTCATTTGTTCAAGAAAGTGAAAAACTTTAAGAATCATAAATATGAGTGTTGTCAACCTCTTTAACAATGTCTTAGAACACTTGACTGCACAGTATGTTATATTTTAGAATGTATTTGAGTAAGATTATTTGTATCAGTTTTTGTGACAATTTTAGTGTATATGTATTAACCTTTGGTACCAATAGAATTATAGCTGCTATCAAATTAATACCTTGTAGAACTGCCATCGATAGAAACAATATGGATGTTTTGTCAATATTTTTCTGTCAATCAATAATTGATACACATTTGAAAAAAAAGAGATAATTTTGGCAAATTAATTAAGTGTCTAGAAATTATGAAAATTCACCCAAAATATATTACAAAAAGCCGGTGCCCAAAGCACTGTCCCAAACATATATTTATCACATATCCAAAATTAGAGCTATTTACAGTAAAAAAGAATTACTTTTTTGATTGATGCGAGCATATAGTGAAATGTTTTCGTTTAAGCCTCGGTCTCACTTACTCCCGGCAGAGCCCAGGACCATCCCGGTAAGTTACCGGGATGATCCGGGATGAAATTATTGTTGCGGTCACACTTACCCCGGCAGCACTACGGTAGTTCCCTACTAACCACCCAGGATGCGCTCCGGATCATCCAGGCAGAGCCCAGGTGAAGCTACGGTTCATGCCGGTGCTTCCCCGGTCGTTCCCGGATGACGCCGGAAGAGCCCCGGTTGACCCAGGCAGAGCCCCGGCAGAGCCCAGGACGATCCAGGCAGAGCCCCGGTAGAACCCCGGTGGATTGAAAACGCCCGAAAATGATAACTTTGATACATAATTTTTATTTAATATAATATCTATTGTTCCAGAATAGTAATTCATGATGATTTTCTGAAAAATCCTTATGCCATACTGGATAGAAGGGAAATGGGAAGGCTTTTAATACAAACAAGTTCAATCATCACAAATTGTCCTTATTTTTTTTTTATTAAATGATACCGGGTTTTTGCCGGGGCCTCTACCGGGGCTCTACCGGGATCAACCGTAGCTCTACCTTTATCCTCCGGGGCTCTGCCTGTAGTTACCGGGCTCTGCCGGCATATACCGGGCTCTACCGTAGCTCTACCGTAGCTGTACCGGCTATATCATACCCCGGATCATCCCCGGTTTGTGCCGGCAGAGCTACGGTGCTTTCCCGGTATCACCCCGGTCATTCCCGGCAGAGCTAAGGATGATGCCGGCAAAGCTATACCTTCCCGGATCATCCCGGACCACCCCGGTGATATTAAATATTTTATTCCATCCGGGGTCGAATGCCGGATGTTCCCGGATCATCCCGGATCATCCAGGACGTTGCCGGCAGAGTTACGGATGTACCCCGGTTGTTCCCGGTCGTACCCCGGTCGTTCCCGGATCACCCCGGACGTCTACCGGGGCTCTGCCGGGGCTCTGCCGGGATGTAAGTGAGACTGAAGCTTTACTGCGACTTTATACACTATGCTGTATAACATCATTTTTTTACATCAAAATATATTCATAGTTACGCAATTACGTTTTTATGGGTGTGATAAATCCGTTTAATCCTATATTGATATATTATTGTCAAAATGCTTTGCACCGAATTTTGACGGCTCTAATCCCTATTATTTTTTCTATTCTGCAGATATAATCATTGCACCTGAACAAGTAGATGATCGTTACAAATGTCCAATAAAATATGACTTTAATTATGCATGTCCAAGTACCAAACAGCCTGGGCGTAAATTAGTTTGTATACACGAGTCGTGGTTGTGTGACCAGGATCTGGACTGTCCCGAAGGTGAAGATGAAGGGACGGGAGAAGGCATGCCATGCCATAACAGAAATGGTAAGTAGTTAAACATAATAACTCAGTCTATTACAAATTTCATATTGAAACAACAAGTCTTTGATGCCCAAAACCTTCCACAGCTCAATGCCATAACAGAAATTGTAAGTGGTTATACATATAACCCAGTCTATAACAAATTTCTCATTTAACCAACAAATCTATGATGCCCAAAATCTTCCACAGCTCAATAGGGTTTAAAACATTAGAATTAGAATCAAAGGGCCACTGGTTCAATCCTCGGGAAAGGCAAAATATGTCATTTAAACAACAAATCTATGATCCACAAGTCCTTCCACATAGCTCAATAGGGTTTGAAGCATCAAATTTAGTATCAGAGGGTTGCTCAGGTTCAATCCTTGGGTTAGGCAGAATTTCTATGTGACAATTGATGTCGGCTCTTTGAAAATCAATCTTAGACATACAGTCTTATAGTTGTTATATATCTGTCACTGCTGATTCAAAAATCAAGTGTGATTAGTAGTCGGTCACTTGCGGAGAATTTGTCAATTACTGGTTACAGTTTATTCAAGAAAGCCTGTTTGGTTGAAGTCCACTGGCATGACCAAAAACTGTGTTAAAATCTGTGGTATAAGAATTGAAACAAACAAAATAGATATGATATTAGCCAAACATTCTATAAAGCCGTACATCATTGATGATAATATCTAATAAGAGGCTAGTAGACAAGATATATAATATAGTATTAATCAATTACGAAACAAGATCTTGTAAAGGATATTGTCAAGATAAATATATATGTCTGAGGTTAATTGATAGTTTTTGTTACATCTGAATTAATTGTATGCCTCTCTTCATCTGACCTGTCACAAGGAGAGAGAAAAAAAGTAGTACTCTAGGTCAATGACCTCTAAAAATATATTTAGGGTCATGTATTACTTTGAGATATACCCCATGATTTGCATATATAATTAGATGATCAGATAAATGATAAATGAGGTACTGTTAATAAAAGGTCAAGTGCTATTTGATATAACATTTACAAGTGGTATTTCGTCTGAAAATTGATGAAATTAAAATGATATAAATTAAAATGAGCAAAAGTATAATAAAAATTGAGACCAATTTAAAAATTAGCTGAAGTCCATTAAATGTGAAATGAATCTCAATGCTATATGATAATTAGATTTGGCAAGAGGGTCATTTGTGGCTGAGTGGTTATAATAAGGTCTTTGGCTTCTAACCACTTGCCCGTCATTGCTGTAGGTTTGAATCCCATCAAAGACTATGGATTCTTTCATGTTAGGAAGCTATCCAGCTAGCTTACAGAATGTTAGTGGTTCTACTTTGGTGCCTGCTTGGGCCTGAAATAATGCATGTTGAGGCACCAGAGGTCTTCCTCCACCAGAAAAGCTGGAAAGTCGCCATTATGAACTCTTCTTTGTTTGTGCAATGTGAAAACCATCTAAAAAAAGGGTGAAAACAACAGATTTGGCAAAATTTAAAGGTCAAAATCTATCAAATGCTTAGTGTTGAGGAATCTGGTGTTAGGGAATGTTGGTCTATACTTGTGGTGTAATAGGCAATTATTTATAGATTTTGTTGAGTCTTTAAGTCATGGCATCATTTTTAAGATAATAATTAAGGTAACTTCACTGGTTGAGAAATACTTCAGATACACCTTTGTGTATTTTTTTCAGTTACAAGAGGTCACCTTTAACCTTTTAGTAGAACATCTGGCCTTTTAGTACCTCTGGCCTTCGGTTATCTGCCTGGATAGCTTCCTCACATGAAAGAATTCTTACTGTACTTAGTAGTGTTTGAATCGGCATAATGACTCAGATGATCATCTTTGAATGTATGACTACTGTGCAGTGGTCTTGATTTCTGCTTATAATTTGACCTCATATTAATTTGATGTATCATTTATATAAAGAACTGTTTGAGATATTATATTGCTGATTTCTTTATTATCAAATATTTTCAGCTGATTTCTGTATGAAAGACGCACAATTCCAGTGTGGAGATGACGCTACTCTTTGCATTCCAAAGAACTGGATGTGTGACGGGGACCTTGATTGTGACGATGGTTCTGATGAGGCGAGGCCTAATTGTAAGTAGAAAAGGAATACTGATACATCCCTTCTACTTAATGAACTAGTCAGCTAGTCATTTGTAACTCCAACACCCCAAAGCCCCAGTGGTAATTTAGAGATTGTTGTGGGGGAAGGTATGAAATGAGCTGTTACCCCCTGTATGGCATGGTGAATACATTGTCTCAGCCTTGGGACAATGTCAAATTTACTGTAGTGTGGGGCTGGGGGAATAATTAAGATCAGATTTTATATCATATGACTGTCTTCACATCCAGGGATTTAAGAAAATTCAATAGCTCTTCACAAGGGCTGGGAGTGGGGCTGGGAGTAGTTGGGAGGCTGTGGTTGCAACTTACTAGTTTTATTTATGATAGAAAAGCTGACTGGGGCACTTAAGCTGAAAGGGAAACTACTCTCTATCTCATATTTATGTGGGTTTAAATTTAGATTTAAATTGTACCTGCTTTTTTTTGAGATATTTAACTTTGCTAGCAAGATGTTTCAAGGTTGAGCAAGGTGCAGTATTTTTGTAAAGTTTTACAGAATGATTTCCAGAGATTGGGCCAGTTTCACGTACATCAAAATTTCGTTCTACAGAATTTTTGTTACTGCTAACTAATAATTGGTCATATCACAATGTTGCAGTGCTATTAATTCACTAAGACTTCAGTATCAAGACCTTGGTATAAAAGAAGTAAAACTGATATTGTAGTTTTATAAAGTATAGAGAAGAATTGAGATTTTTATATATCAGTTTGTATTAATCATATTTATATTTTAACAGTTTGTTACTGAGTTTAGGCTTTAGTAATAATAATTTTGTGTTTATTCTCTTGAGTAAATGATTTTATTCTTTTGCTGTTTTGTATGTGCTTTCATATATAACTTAAGTATTGCTTGAATATCTTTAATGAAAGCAATGTGTAATTATTCACAGCAATGTATATATACAATTATTCACAATTTACTTTATTTTTTTAAAGGTTTAAAAATGGGAATAGAACGAAAAGGTTAGATACGAAGCACGTCTTGTCTCTGTGTTTTTCTCGTGCATTTTTGACACATGATCGTTTAACATTGTAAGAGTGGACATTTCATACTGCCTGACTTAATTCATTGCTTTTTTTCTGCTCTTGTCATGAGCACAAAGTGCTTAAGGCAAGCTGTTGTGATACCCCATTGTTCGTCATCCATTACCATTTTTACTTTAACAACATCTCCCATACTTCTAGACCAATAGTGATTAAATTATACACCACTTGGTAGATTTTGATGAAACTGCGCAACAATGATCAGTCGAAAGTTCTCAAAAAAATTTCTCAAGTTGTTCCAGTATGCTGATCATGGAAAACCCTCTTAATGAAATCTTTTCCCTGCAGACCATATTCTCCGGTGAGCGATTAGGGCCAGCATGGCTCTCTTGTTTAATTAACTGTAAAAGATACTGGAAATGGGTTACAAATACATAATGCTTTGAATGACTTTGTAACATGAACATGTGTCTGGATTATTATCTAACTTTGGTATATTTTACTCTAGGATTTTCTTCATTCAACTTTATTTTCTTTCTAATGAATGGCCTTGTACTCGTAAAGGGATTACTAGAATTAAAAAAGAATTTTTTTTTATCTGTCTCTCAAAAAATTGGTCATCAACAAACCAAGTGTGTAGGTTACATCTTTAGATATTCACCATTCAAGATTTTATTTATTAAAACAATTACCCTAAGTAATGAGATGAATTTTTAAAAATCACAATCTCAGATCCACTTTCAAGATGGTAAAAGCTCAAGGGCACTGAAAGGTCACAGTTTTAGATGACCTCTTATTGATGAAATAAAGAAAAATCTTTGATTATTTTCATGTGTACCATTATTGTTGAATGTTCATTGTTGGAATGCTTCTCAAGCACCTTCATTCTGATGAGCCTATTAGGGTATTTATGACCTTCTTGCCCACTGAAGAGAAATCTGATCATTCAAAATTGTCCTAGATATCATTTGCATAAATTTGTAAATGAAAAGTAAAATTAGTTACATATTAATAATTTTTGTAATGCTGAATTGTCTGTTTATTTTCTTAAAGGGACTCCACTGAAGTGATTTGACATGACGTGACTGGAAATATTTTTTTGACATAAAATTCCATTTCCATCTAGACCAGTGACTAATGTGCAAATTTCATATTGTTCACTCACTCTGTTTTTCCATAATAATTATTCAAATTGTGAAAAATGACCAAAAATGAAAAAGCGTTGCAACAATTTTCACTCAAATCTGACTTAAAGAATAGCACAAAAAATATATGATTTTCATCATATTTCTGAGTATATTTCTTACACATTTATCTGTTTTAAGTGCCCAAACTGATCTTGGTAAGAAATTAGAATTTTTATGTTTTGGGCTTTTGGACCTCAGTGGAGTTCCTTTAATATTTTCATAACATTGTATGAAAGGTTATTTGATTTTCATTTAAAGAGTTAATATAGCATAATTGATTGATGCTATGATGAATGTATAATACTGTAAATTCATTTGTTTTCGTGGGTGTAAAGTTTTGTGGGTTTTTTTTACAAAAGACATTTTGTGGCTTCTTAAATTTGTGGATTGTCTTTTTTTCCCAACAGAAATGCAAATAATGTAATGATTTTATAGCAAATGATATGAAATTTGTAAGATATGAAATTCGTGGGTTGACTTACCCATGAAATCCACAAAAATTAGTACCCCATGAATAATAATGATTTTACAGTAACTTTACCTGTTTAACATGATATTTTATGTCTGAATATTTGTCATGCATCAAACAAATCGAACAAATATAACACAAGTCTTTTTCTTCTTCAAATCCCACAGCACTTAAATGCATGCTTTATTTAACTAAGTGTAGCTTAAAAGATGACTGTTAACATTACTTTAACGTTTGGCTGGAACCAAAACACTGTGAAAGCCATGCATGTCAGTGTAGAGCCAGGCCAGCCTATACACCAGTGCTTACTCACAGAGCCTGTCTGACTTCCTAATATTACTTCCTAAGTTTTACTTCCTTAACTACTAAATGGACAGTATCAAAATCGGGACATTGGATAAAAATTGGACAAGTCCATTTGAGAAATTCAGTAGTTTACTGGTTAAATTGAATTCAGTTGAATTTTAATTTGTTTTCATTGAGATGCAATTTTGCCATTATAATCCCTTCCACCACAATCACCATTATAAAAGTGCTCTCTGCAGCATTGCATACAGCATTGTCACAAATATTATAATCATCATCATCACACAGTCTCAGTTACTACCATATGTAGTCATTTTCACTCTCATCAGTCTTCATCATCATCATCATAATCAATAACAACATCAGCAGCAGCATCATCATCATCATACTAGACTCATCATCATCATCATCATCATCATACTAGACTCATCATCATCGTCATCATCATCATCATCATCATCATCGTCATCATCATCATCATACTAGACTCATCATCATCATCATCATCATCATCATCATCATCGTCATCATCATCCTCATACTAGACTCATCATCATCATCATCATCATCATCATACTAGACTCATCATCATCATCATCATCGTCATCACCATCATCATCATCATTATCATTATCACTAGAATCATTATCATCATATTTGATCACTGATCATGAGTTCAAGTTTAATCATTCATTGTCATCACCATTCATATCATATCATTATACTAGACTCGATCATTATCATCATCACTAGAATCATTTTCACCATATTTATCATTATGATGATCAAGTTTAAATCTTCATTGTCATCACCATCATCATTATCATCATCAGGTCATCATCATCATCATCATCATCAGGTCATCATCATTATCATCACTTCACCATCATTATCATCATCCGTGTCATCATCATCATCATTTTCTAACATTACTTTATTTTAACTCACCAACATTAGAAGCATCTAAATTATTTTTAATTGATATAAAGAATACAAACTATAGGTTTATATATAGTATGATATATATATCAGCATTTATGTTATAGCATCAGATATGTATGTTATAGGTATTGTTTAACATAGTCAATGATAAAATTGATAAGGGGATGCTAATGTTATAGTCTTGTTAAGCTATTTGATATTTCTCACGGTTTTCTTAAGTGTCACTAATGCTTTTTGATATTTCCATATTTGGCATGAATTACAGTTATGAAGAAATGTAAGGGTATTTTATATTGATATTGACAACAACTTTTTCCCTTGAGAAACACAATATTATACAATTATTCCATTTCCTAGCACAGTCCTTAGGTCCATGATGCAATATTTAGAAAAAGGATGTTAAAAGATCAAAAGTAATTAAACTTACAAAAAGTCAATGTCACGGCATTTTAAAGCATGATAAAAGTGGTGTGACACAGAAATAGATCATTTCTTCCCTTTGAAATACTTTATTTATGGTATTTGCCTATGGATATTATGGCAAAAGAAATCTATTTTGACTGCACTGTAAGGTTATTATGATATCTAAATATATTCAAATGATAGTAATTGGCTCAAAGACAAAGGAATTTAAAAGTCATAGAATTGAAAATGTTATATTTTGACTGACGTATTTCTACACATTGTTTATGTGTATTGTTTTGTATTTGGACAACTTTTAAAGTTTTTAAACAATATTTTAAGTAAAAATGATGCTAAAAATACATTTTGACTGAAGTATTTCCATACATACAGTTTTTGTTATTTGGCCAAATATTTAAGTTCTCGAATGATATTTTAAGTAAAAATGATGCAGTAATTATCATGGAGGAAGTGACTGAAAAAAAACAATAACAAAAAAACTTGGGTTAAGCTTTAATTACAATTGTGTAAAACATTCAGGATGCAACACATCAATAGGACATATCACTTGCTAATAATATGAAATTTTAAAAAAAAATAAAAATGCAAATGGCAATATTTTATCAAAGGGAAGCAACTTTGATGATTTAAGCTGCACTATCACAATACCTCATTACTCTGCATCCTATATGTATAATCATAATCTTTCCAAAGAGCATAATCTGCCCAATTAAGCACCAAGCACAGTATGTAATATCATGATTATTACCCCCTGTAATAACGTCAAATAAATATTACAATTTTGTTAATTGTTAAATTAAAAAGAAAAATAGATAAAAATAAATTGAGTGTAAAATTTTTAGTGACAAAAAATGGTGAATTTCTATATTTTTGTTTTAAGACCTACATATACATGTACATACTTTTGTTGCTATCAGTATTAATTTATAGAATTTTAAATTCAATGTAAAAATAATAAGCTTGTGTAGAAAAACAAATGAAGTTTTAAGACTTGTTGCATAAGTTTATGAATAAGTTTACCTTTATTACATATGATATATACAACCATAGTTTTTTGTATAACATACTGTATAAATATCTATTTTAAAATTCCAATTAAAGATTCAAAGAATACTAGAAAGGCATTGGTTCTTGGTAAGTCTGATTTTTATAATCTGCAGGTCAAGATGGTAAAGAAATTTTTTATGACAGTTGATTATTATTTTCAAATAGACAAAGAAAATAATGCATAGTTAAAATAGCTTTAACGAAGACAATCTTTATATTACAGGTCCCCATGTTAAAAATTTAATTCCATGTACACCAAATCAACTACAATGCGGTGGATCTCATAAATGCATTCCATTGAGCAAAGCCTGTGATAATATATATGACTGTGATTCAGGGGAGGATGAGTTTGGCTGTTCTAATGATAAATGTAAGTAATTTTTGTATTGGGGAGGATGAGTTTGGCTGCTCTAATGATAAATGTAAGTAATTTTTGTATTGGGGAGGATGAGTTTGGCTGTTCTAATGATAAATGTAAGTAATTTTTGTATTGGGGAGGATGAGTTTGGCTGTTCTAATGATAAATGTAAGTTATTCTTGTACTGGGGAGGATGAGTTTGGCTGTTCTAATGATAAATGTAAGTTATAGTAGTATGGGTATATCAACAACAATCATTTGTGTATTACGATGTTTTGTGATACCAGTCAACCCTGGATAATGATATTTAAAAACTGACAAACATGATTTATTGTGATATATGTCAATTCATAATGCAACACAGAGATAGTTTTTGTGGGTGTATTTGAGTTTTTTTATACTCACCACCTGTTGCCCATATGGGCGAGTCCTCCAGGACAGTATTGGTCATTTAAAATTTTTTGAGGATTACAGAAAAATGTCCCAGTTCCAGAAGCTTCTTCTGGTTCTTTAGCGTGTCAAGTGTTTAAGCACTCATACACAGGACCTCAATTTAAAGTCTCATAGGAAAGACTGATCAGTTATTGAAGTTCGCCAGCCCGGGAATCAAACCCATCTTGTCAAGATTACAAGTTCTCGCTTTTACCAACTGAGCTATGCTGGCTGGTGAGATTGTTTTGAATAACAAGCAACAATATAAAGCCACTGTTCATGTCCGCGGCATAGTGGTTAAGGTCGTTGACTTTATTTTCACACATTGCAGTTCTTGAAATAGTCAAATTATTTATTGTTTGATAACGGTCTAATATTAAAGAAAATATTATGGCACATCATGAGTCTGTACCTTTAGTGAATACCTCTATACAAATATATTGCCGCACGGTTGATTAAGAATAAACATTCAATACCCGTGACTTACTTCCACGTATCATTATGCATATAAAAACAAAAAACATGTTATTATTTTATGTTAATGTTTTAATCATAAACAAATATATTTGTTTACCTATGTAAACTTGCCCCTTTACCTTGGAATACAAAAAATATGTTTGTTTTTTGCAAATCAGCATGTTTATATACCATTATTATATTAGCCTAATATGGTCAATGTTAGTTTCATTAGGCAATTAAAATAAAATCAGGCCTTGAGGTTATAAAACTTATTTCTGAGTTCGGTCTCAAATCTTCATTGGTCAGTGTACATTTTGTGATAGTTCCTAACGAATCAAATACCTGAGAAGTGAGTTAGAGCTTGGAGGATTTCTTTAAAACCTTAGGGTCAGGATCATTTGATCCTAATGCGGATAATTGAGCCACGTCATGACAAAACCAACATAATGAGTTTGCGACCACCATGGATCCAGACCAGCCTGCGCATCCGTGCCATGCTGTTCGCTTACAAACCCTGTAACAAGTAGAGAAACTGATAGCGCACACATGGATCCTGATCAGACTGCGCGGATGCGCAGGCTGGTCTGGATCCATGCTAGTCGCAAATGCACTACGTTGGTATTGTCATGACGCGGCTCATATTTTCTTTGCAAACATGGGGCCAAGACTTGAACTCAGGACCTGTATGTATTCCTTTATGAACTATTTGGGCTGGCAGTATTGACTTAGCATATTCTTTGTGATTTATTTTTGTATTATCATAGGTCAAAATGAAGAGTGTGAGAAGTGTGCGGAGGTGCCGGTTGAAGGGGCCAAATGTTACTGTGACGACGGGTTTTATTGGAACACAACACTTCAAAATTGTACAGGTTTGTAGTGACTACAAATTTAAGTAGCATGTTTCAATTATAAGTCAAAGCTTGATTCAGGGTAATAACCTTCAGATTTCAAATTTATATGACAAAAAAATTTTTTTGTTAAGACATAGTTATGCATCTTAAATGGTAACGAGACTTTTTCTGTATTAGAACTGGCAACCTAGAAAAAAAAACGGTGTGTCCAGCTTAAATTTATGATTCAAAATTTTATTTTAGAAGATTTATATGGCAATATATTTCCTTGAATTTTCTTGTTAAATTTTTGTGTCAACTTTCAGATCTGAATGAGTGTGAATATGAACAATTTTGTGACCAACCAAGTCAATGCATCAATTCTAACGGAAGTTATACGTGTGGTTGTGTGAGCGGGTATGAAATAGAGGATGGTTCAACATGTACAGCTGTGAATAGTGAGTTTTCCACTTTATTGTCGCAAATGAAAAGCATATTTTTAACAAGTCAAGCAATCTCTTTAGGAAAATGACATCTTAAAGATTACTGGATCGGTGGTTCTACTCAGGTGCCTGTTAGTGCCTGAAATAATGCACAGAAGGGCTCCGGAGGTCTTCTTCCATCAGTTAAGCTAGAACATTGCAGTATGACCTTTACTGTGTTGGTGTGATGTAAAAATCCAATCAAACATACAATCAAACTTGGATCCATTAATGTATAAAACCACATGTTTTACTATTTATACAGTCCCTGTGGAAGGGAATCTTAACTGTTACCAAGCTAGCATTGACTGGATCTACCCAAGTGATTGAGTGCAGACCAAGATCATTATGGTCCAAACTATCTGCTATTCATTCATTACATATTCTCAAATTTTCCCTAAAAGTGATGAATGGTTTTGTCCAGATTGAAAGATGGACAAGTTCATTTTAAGATCTTTAGTGACAGGTATGGGTTAAAGTACAGTACTAGAAAGTTCTAACTGTGATGAAATGACCCTTGGTGTATGATGTGCTGTCTTCTGTCTGGCACAAGAGTGTCTGCCTCTAAACACAGGGAACATGGATTCAAGCCATACTAGGTTCATGACTCTCATCATATGACATCAGTACTGATTAGTCTGAGGAGGCGGACAAGAGTGGGCCATATAAGCTTAAAGCCTTTCTCACAATGGAACATAAATGAACAATGTTTAAACTAAGTGAAATGTTATTCAAACAAAAAAAAAGAATAACTTCATATTTTTCTTTTCTATTGACTAGCATTGATTTAAATCATTTTCAAATCTTATAATACTGACGTATACTGCCCTTACAGGACTGGTACTCTTTCCGTCTGGAATAAGGGAAGCAACGAAGGATAAACATTCAAATTTTTGGGACCCAGTCTGTCATATTATACATATACATGAGTGTAATCTTTACTGTATACACATGCAATATTATGATTTAATCTCATTTTAGAGCCAGACAGAGCAGTAAACCCAACTATACTGGTATCAAACCAATGGGATGTACGGCAACTGACGATACTGGGAAAGAACTTGTTATCTCCTTTTGTAAGGGTTGGACAAAGGGTGACAACTCTTGCGTTTGACCATAAGAAGCAGCAAGTTTGTTGGGTATGTAGAAATGAGCCGCGTCACAACAAAACCAACATAGTGCGTTTGCGACCAGCATGGATCCAGACCAGCCTGCGCATCCTCTCAGTCTGATCAGGATCCATACCTCGCATAATATGATTTTATTCAACTGGTTCAATAAATTTAGTATTAATTCTACACTCATTCAATATCCTCTATATATTTATTGATACATGTATATAAAAAGAACTCCATTGAGGCCTAAAAGCCTAAGCACTTAGAATTTGAATATCTAAAATCTACTTGCTGTACTTAAAATGGAAAATATATAACTTGTAATTTAATTGAAAATCTTATTTTTGTGCCATTTGAGTTTTAATTGCTTAAAGTGTTTAAATGCTTTACATATTTGGGTCATTTTTCAGAATTAAAATATTTTTTTCTTCGAAACAACTGAGCAAGCAAATGATTTAAAGCTTTGCACACTCCCTATTGGGTTCAGACCTATATATTGAAAAAAAAAATTTTTAGTCATGACAAAAACCGTGAGGAAAGTACCTGTTTAACACATAATTTATTACTATATAAATTTTGTATATTTTTTTGTTTCTTCAGATAACCTATGCTGGTAATGAGGGGAAATCTTCATTGATGTGTTCATCTGTTATATCACCCACAGAACAACTTCATCTGATTCCTGTGCAGAACCATTTAACCAGTAAGTGTCCAGTTGATCTGGTTAATTAACCGGTTGATCTGGTTAATTAACCGTAATAGTTCAGAGTGGCGACATGGCCGAGTGGTTAACACATCAGACTATAGTAATCTAAGGATAACAATGTATTATAATGTATAAATCAAGTTGAAAAGCATTTCCACCGGAAAAGAAAGATGTCATGTATAAATTTTGATTTTTTTTTATCATGCTTTTTCTTAAGAGACAGTTTTTCTTAAGCGACTGTTTTGAGTGTTTCCCTTGCATGGTCGCTTGATACATGTTTGACTGTAATTTATTGTATTTTTTTTGTATTTTTTCAAATCTCAAGTAAAAGTATCATCTTTATTTTTTCAGATGTAGAAAGTTTTGCCAAAGACTGGATTCGTGGAAATTGGTATTTTGTTGACCCAGTTTTGTTACGTGTCTCAGTATGTTCGGAAAACGGGCTGTTTTGCCAAGTTCTTGCCAATAAAGACAGTCAGATTGTCGGACCACGGAGCTTAGTGCTTGATCCTTTAGATGGGTAGGTTAATTTATTTAATGGAGATTTTAAAGGAACTCAACCGTGGTCAAATAGCTTAAAACATTAAATTTGAAGTTATTACATCAGGTGAAGAACTTAAAAAAGGGAAAAATCTGCAAAGGATAATATGGAAATAAACTCGGATTTTAATTGAATTTTGATATTGAGTGCGATTTTTAGCCCAATTTGGGTGAAAAGCATTTCAACACTTTTCATTTTTGAATCATTTTGCACGAAAAAAAAGATGGTTCTGGAAAAAGTGGAGAGGAAATGATCAGAAAATGTGCACACAAGTTATTAGTTGTAAGTATTATTGAGGAATTCATATATTGAGAGGTTTGTATGTGCCAGATGCATTAAATTGAAATTATCCTTGGTCGAGGGGCTAGAGTTGATGACTTCTAATCCAGTTACCTCTCTGGTGTGGGTTTGATCCCCGGGGTTGCTTTGGTAATTTAGTGCGGAGGAAGGTAGTCTAGTACTGGTGTAACTCTCCAGGAACGATGGTTAGGAAACTACCCGCCTTTATGACTGAAATATTGTTGGAAAAAGGCTTAAAATGAAACAAACAAACATGAATCTGTTCTGCTTTGCTTTTCAGAACATGAATGATTAATTATGATAACACTTTTGAGCCGCGTCATGACAAAACCAACATAGTGGGCTTGAGACCAGCCTGGATCGAGACCAGCCTGCGCATCTGCGCAGTCTGATCAGGATCCATGCTGTTCGCTATCAGTTTCTCTACTTGTAATAGGGTTTGTAAGCGAACAGCATGGATCCTGATCAGACTGTGCGGATGCGCAGGCTGGTCTGGATCCATGCTGGTCGCAAAGGCATTACGTTGGTTTTGTCATGACGCGGCTCATTTATGAATGATGTACCTGATTGTTCCTTTTGAATTGTTATTAAGTATATGCTAGGTCATTTTATCAAGGTAATGCAATATCACAGCCTTAAGAATAAATATCATTAAAAAAGCATTATACTATACATATTTGAGCTGCGTCACGACAAAACCAACATAATGCACTTGCGACCAGCATGGATCCAGACCAGCCTGTGCAGTCTGATCAGGATCCATGCTGTTAGCTATCAGTTTCTCACCTTGTTAAAGAGTTGGTAAGCGAACAGTATGGATCCTGATCAGCCTGCGCGGATTGTCTGGATCCATGCTGGTCGTAAACGCATTACGTTGGTTTTGTCATGACCCGGCTCATTTCATTTTTAGAATCATGACATATATAAGTTTACAGCTATAAGTACATATTACAAGTGGGTTTCTTTTTAATTTAATACATAAAAATTTAATTTTCAGATTTCTGTACTGTGCCGACTGGGATGAAAACAACCAAACAATATACAAGATGAGCCTCCGAGGTCACGGACTAACCCGTTTTGTAACAGACAAACTAATCAAGCCAATTGGTCTGAATATTGACTACGCAAACAAGCATCTTTACTGGGCAGACATGGACCTCAATGTCATCGAGAGGATTGATTTGACTGGCGATCCAAGTTCCCGTAGAGTTATAGCAGTTGGTTCTAAGGTTAGTTATCTTAAGTTATTTTGCGAGGGAGTTTAACAGCTTTCATAATGGCAAAAAGAAATTTTTAAAAAAAACTCTAGGGAAGAACGTTATGAAACCTCTGTTTAGTGATTGTGTTAACAGTAATTGAACATTTCAAAAAGTGTGCTATTTGCTTGTTTATGCTACATTATTTGTATATATTTTATCTATGCATACATTTACTTATTTTAAAGTAAACATTTTGTCCATGGTTCTATGCTAAATCTATAGATATCTGCATTTATATCTTAAGATGCTCGTGTAAATAATTGGAACATTTTACATCACAGAGAAATTGAAATGTATATACCTAACTGTTTAAAAAAAATTTTAAAAGTTGAAATAATTTAATTTTGTTTCTAAGGTTAAGTACATCCACAGTATATGAGCCGCGTCACGCACAGATCAGACTGCGAGGATGCGCAAGCTGGTCTGGATCCATGCTGGTCGGCAAACGCACTATGTTGGTTTTGTCAAGATGTGGCTCATATGTTATTATACTAAACAGCTTAAAAAAAACCTCTTAAGAATCCTAAAAATTAAAATCGTTCAATTTTGTTTCCAAGGTCGAGTATATCCACAGTATAGCAGTGTTTGAGAACTACCTGTATCTTAGTGACCGTCATGAGAACCAGCTGATTCGTATGCATCGCTACAAGTACGGGGAACCGTTAGTGACGCTCAACGGCAACATGTCACGTCCAGGACAGATTCACGTCTACCACAGTCAGACACAACCAGATGGTGAGTTTTTTCTGTTTTTTTTTTTAAAATTTACAAACTACCAAATGTGATCCATTAAAGAAAAAATTTTTGCAAACCAAATAATGATTACAGTGCATACTTTTGAGGCAGAGTAACTGACATTGAACCAGCTAAATATTTTAAATGGACTTGACAATTTTTTATTTTATACAAAACAATTTATTTATAATTTTTATCAAATAAGTTGAAAATGTATAATTACAGAAAAGCTAACTGTGCAGACTATGGGCAGACAGCACAGATGTTGTGAATCAAACTTGGTCTGCACTGGTCCCATATATAAGTTAAAGCAGTTGCTACCAGTAACATAACAAAGGTGTATAAATAATGGCAAGTCTGGTAGAAATAAACACCACACATGACAAGTTTTGTAAAATTAAACATCACACATGACAAGCTTTGTGAAATCAAACACCACACATGACAAGCTTTGTAAAATTAAACATCACTTATGACAAGCTTTGTAAAATTAAACACCACACATGACATGTTTTTGTAAAATTAAACACCATACATGACAAGTTGTGTAAAAATTAAACACCACACATGACAAGTTTTGTAAAATAAAAACACCACACATGGCAAGTTTTGTAAATTTAAACATCACACATGACAAGTTTTGTAAAATTAAACACCACACATGACAACTTTTGTAAAATTAAACTACACACATGACAAGTTTGGTAAAATTAAACATCACACATGACAAGTTTTGTAAAATTAAACACCACACATGACAAGTTTTGTTAAATTAAACACCACACATGACAAGTTTTGTAAAATTAAACATCACACATGACAAGCTTTGTGAAATCAAACACCACACATGACAAGCTTTGTAAAATTAAACATCACATATGACAAGCTTTGTAAAATTAAACACCACACATGACATGTTTTTGTAAAATTAAACACCATACATGGCAATATTTTGTAAAATTTAACACCACACATGACAAGTTTTGTAAAATTAAACATCACACATGACAAGCTTTGTAAAATTAAACACCACACCACACATTACAAGTTTTGTTAAATTAAACAACACCACACATGACAAGTTTTGTAAAATTAAACACCACACATGACAAGGTTTGTAAAATCAAACACCACACATGACAAGTTTTGTTTGTTGTATAATTGTAGCATTAGAAGAGGACCCATGTGCTTCAGCTGGCTGTGACCAGATATGTACTGTATATAGAGAAGGTGGCATGCTTTTACACGAGTGTCTCTGTGCTGCTGGATTCAGAAAAGAAAACAACAAATGTATTGGTAAGTTACTACAAAAACTGTAAAATATTTTCATTTATATGATATTGTTATCTATACTTGAATTTTACACGAGTGTCTCTGTGCTGCTGTGTCCAATAAAGTTAACAACAAATGTATTGGTAAGTTGCTACAAAAACTGTAAAATATTTTTATTTGTATGATATAGGTATTTATACTTAAATTCACACGAGTGCCTCTATGCTGCTGGGTTCAGAAAAGTTAACAACAAATGTATTAGTAAGTTACTACAAAAACTGTAAAATATTTTTCATTTATATGATATTGGTATCTATACTTGAATTTTACACGAGTGTCTCTATGCTGCTGGGTTCAGAAAAGATAACAACAAATGTATTAGTAAGTTACTACAAAAACTGTAAAATATTTTTCATTTATATGATATTGGTATCTATACTTGAATTTTACAAGAGTGTCTCTATGCTGCTGGGTTCAGAAAAGTTAACAACAAATGTATTAGTAAGTTACTACAAAAACTGTAAAAATATTTTTCATTTATATGATATTGGTATTTATATATGAATTGACAAGAGTGCCTTTGTGCTGCTGGGTTCAGAAAAGTTAACAACAAATGTGTTAGTAAGTTGCAGACAAAATCTGTGTAATAGTTTCATATTAATAGTTATACTAAAAATCTTTTACACTTATAGCTGACTCTGGTTTGACTCATATTTAGTATGCTTGATAAATTATGGTCTAACACAATTTTGTTACAAGACCCCTGAATGGTTAAAATAAAACCCCTGGTGTACCCACAAAGTTAGTTTACTTTTGTATGTTTTAAATTGTACTGTTACATACAATGTTCATGGATTTTTTTGCGGAACCAGTACCAACCAGTGTTCACCATACATGTACACATGTCAATATATCCTAATAACAAGTGGTGGAGAATTGACTACAAACATTTTTATCAGAGTGTAAAAATAGATGAAAAACTTTTCACTATCATTGGCATGATAATGATTTTTAAGATTGTAATTATAATGATATAATAATGAATTTGTATTTAATTAGAATGATATAATAATGTATTTATTTTACAGCTAAAGAAGGGTGTGATGATATTTGTGAGGGAGCTGTATGTAATAAACCAGTCGAGTCTCATTACCCAGAAACCTGTTCTTTACGTAAGTCTTTCCATTTTATAGGATTAGAAAAAAACAAAAAGTTCCTGACGCCCATTTTACTAACATTTCATAATTGTGTTTCGTAGGTAAAACGAAACTTTATGCTTGTGTTGAAACTTACGTAAGTTGTAAGTGTGATTCACAAAATGTTCCTAAGTTATGTACAGGAAGCTACATTTCATATAAAGTTAATATATTAACCTTTAGCATACTAGAGGCAAATGATTTACCCATGCGACCAGTGCAGACCTTGATCGGCTGGCGCATCCATGACATCTTCATGGTTTACACTGTTTGCTATTCAGTCTGTACATATTTTAAAATTTCCCCCTAACAACGATAAATGAATTTTTTAAGGTTGAAATATGTACAAGTGCATTTAAGATTATATACATGTACAATGTAATTTGGTATGAGTTAGAAACAGATCTAGAAATGTGTTGAAAAGCTGGCATGTGACATCATCTGTGGGAGGAGTTTAATGTAAATCCATAAATTAATTAGATATGAAATGACAAGAAAGGTAAGATTCTTTTTATCATGATTATTGATATCATAAAGCCAAAAAAAATGTTAAGAGACCACAAAGTTATCATGTGGCATGCCAGTTTCATTCACTTAATTTTCATTAAATTAACATGTAGAATCATGGTTGTGATTTGGTACAGGTCAAACCCACAAACTATTGGTTGAGAGCAGATGCCTTAACCACAAGACTACTGCCCCCCTCCCATTGTTTTGGTTTAAACAGGCAGTTTCAATTTCAACTTTTCTTAACCAAGAGATATTTTAGTTGTTGGGTTGATTTCCAGGTCTTTGTCCACAAAAGATGTCTTACTGTTCAGCATTGGAGAAATGTATACCACAACAATGGTGGTGTGACGGTAAAGTCGACTGCCCGAACGGAGATGACGAGGGTCTATATTGTAAATATCAGGATTGCCTGCCGACAGAGTTTCAGTGTGCGTCAGGAAAGTGTATAGACATGGCATATAAGTGTGACAGAAACGATGACTGTGGACCAAATGATAATAGTGATGAGGTGGGCTGTAACATGACGTGTGATGCGGAGAACTTGTTTCAGTGTGATAATAAGGAATGTATTATGCAAGTGTTTGTATGTGATGGACATGAGGATTGTAGTGGGGGAAACGATGAGGACCCTAAAATATGTGGTATGCCTTTCTCCGCAAATGTTTTGAAGATTTAGTGTGAAATTTGTCGATGTCCATATTTTTTATTTATCATTAAAGGGACTTCCTTACTGTTTTTTGACGTGACAGGATTGGAAAGGATTTATTCATGATTTATGTTCCATTTGATGCAGATCTAGACCAAAAACTTGTGTGCAAAATTTCAAATTTTTCGTTTACTCTGTTTTTCCAGAATTATTATATTTTTTGTGAAAAGCGACCCAAAATTGATATTTACACAATTTTCTCGCCAGAGGCTTGAGTAATATAATCTTATTCACTTGTTCAAAAAATTCAGTTTTGAACCTACACTTATTAAATTTCCTCTATTTAATTTCTCCCTTAACTTACAGATGAGAGACCATTGCAGTTTGAATGTAACAAGGAAATAGAGTTTCAATGTCGTAACGGAGAATGCATAGCGTTGTCATGGAAATGTGACAGTGACCCAGATTGTGGTGACGGCTCTGATGAAATTGATTGCACTGGTATGTGAAAATAAATAGCAACTACTAAGTTTGCCCTCAATGGTCCATTTATTTATCTAAAATGGTTTTTGAAATAATTCTCCCTTACTGTTATGGGTGCACATGTTGCAAAAAGATTATTGATTCTTCAAATTAATATTTGTATCAAGCTAATCTTCAGAATTTTCAGTCATTTATTCTAAACATAAGTCTTTGTGCCGCTTTAAAACTATTATATGGCATACACACATTAATGTTGTTTAAATTAAAAAGACACACAAAATTTTTGGAATTTTTTCCATTTTATCTTTAATAAAATGGGATTAAAAGATGGGTAAATTACTACTATGCTTGTGAACTAATACATGAACTAATACATGTTTGAACTATAAATAATTACAAAACCTTTGCTTCCAGTCTAAGACCTGTGAGGCCGCCCTGCATATAATTGTAACCTATCCAGACTCTTTGTTATGCTGCTATGGTAGCTCAATTCATACTGAAATTAGAACTTTGATGACTGCTCTTAATTTAAATTGCACAAATTCAGCTTGTTAAACATTAAAGTTTTAAAATTTATAGTATGTCATTATGTTATGATTGTTTTAGAAGGAAAGGTGTGTAAGGATTTAGAGAAGGCGTGCGACTCTGGTGACCGGTGTATACCTCAACGATGGTTCTGTGACGGGGAACCAGACTGTATAGACCTATCTGACGAGTCCGATGATAATTGTCCAAGTGAGATTTTACGTTGTTTTTTTTTCTTAACAGTTTGAATAGTTTACAAAATAAATGCATATTAGAGATTGGTAAAGGTTTTTATTCTATTGAAAGTTGAGAGGGAAAATGAGAATTTTTCAAAGCTGTTAATTGTATTTTTCCTTCCAATTTAGAAATGAAAACCTTGTTACTGATTCTTGTTTTTAGCTTGTCTGTTTTGAAGAAAAACTTGCTGCCTCGTCATTTTCATCATCATGCAAAAATGTATGCATTCTTTTTAACTTAGAATTTTTTGTCAAAATTAACAGATATTATGATTGTTTGACATATTACAGTTATAGTTTAGTTAACTTGTAATAAAAAGATGTTTGTCACTTTTTGTAAAAATTGATATTAGATACAGACTCAGGAATCTTTGGATGTTATATGTTTTCATCAGAAACATGTTAAATTGATATCACATTACACTTTAATTTTGTTAGCAAAATCATCTTTCCTGTTTTGGCGCCATAAATTACCTATATTGTGTTGGTGAGTCATGAAACCGAACAAACAATTGAATAAATACTGTCTTGTTGAATAGTTGCAAATCTTATTTAAAAGCTCATGTTTCACTAAGAAAGAGTAAAAGTCACTATTCCCTACTATTAAAAGTGTAAAAAAACAGAAAAAAAATAAAATAAAAATACCATATAAATTTGATTGTGTCAGCGCCATGATTTTATCTCTAATATCAAATAAGTTTTAACATAAATTATTGTTTGACATGTTACAGATGCCAATTACACATGTCTACATCCAAGGAGGAAATGTGAAAAGAATGGTACACATGTGTGTCTCAAACCAGAACAACTGTGTAATGGAGTGAATGACTGTGACGATGAACACTTGGACGAAGGTGGAAGATGTGGTGGTAAGCATTAAAACATCCTTTTTCTTTCTTGATAATATGTATCAGTTGTCAGTGCTGAGAGTTTTTATTTTGATTGTCTAAGAAATTAAATGTTTTAGAAAATCAAGAACCCTTTCCATGCTGATACTGAAAGTGAGCAGCCCAAGCCTTGCCAACAGGAAAGGGCCAGACTAGCATGCACTTACATACATTTTGACAAGGCTTTTTACTGTCGGTCAAGCTCAATTTTTAGCTAGTTTAATTATACGAAGAATAGGGAGAGCTTCTGTACTCACTTTGATGTAGGTGTCACACTTTGGTTAAATTTTGCTTGCAAGTTGGTATCTCCAAAACTACTGAACAGTTTACGTTTTAAAAAAGTCTTTTTTCATTGACATGCCTATAGTGTAATGCTAACAATTGTTTGCTTTGACGCTATGATTGTATGTAACACAAATGATGTCACATTATTAAAATGTTACTACACTACTGTAATATCTTTTTTGTCGTGCTGTGATTTATGTGATAAACAAATATAGCAGTTTGAAGGTTAATATTCCCTGTTGTTTTTTTTTTCATTGTAGCGGAGATGTGTCAGCTAGATACTGATGATATATGTGAAGATATATGCTACAACACACCAGACGATCCAGGCTATATGTGTCACTGTAAGACCGGGGAGAAGCTCGACTCCGACAACAAGACCTGTATCGCAGCCGTAGCTGCCGATAAACTGTGCCACCAGTGGGGAATCTGCGGTCAGGATTGTGAACTTGACATGACGGCACCACATGGATACAGGTGTACATGTTTCGATGGATTTTTCTTGGAGCCAGATGATTTTACCTGCAAGCCTTTAGGTGAGTTGGATTTTATTTATAGAAGTTTCAAGCCACATTTCTCTTTTTTGTATAGAAATGGATGTGAAAGCAGTTTTATATTGAAACTAGGTTGATATATATGTGATGAGTATTGGAGAAAGGTTTGTTTGTGTGCAAAATGTAGTTCAGCCATCTTATTTGTCACTGAAAAAATACTACAGTCCTTCCTAAAAACAATATGAAAAGTCTAGGTTATGCTGATAGTAATGGATTTTGGAGTTTACCATCTGCACCACAGCAGTAAGCCACTTCGAATTCACACGAGCACATTTCAGCCACGGCATTGAATCGAGCACATTTCAGCCACCGCATTGCATCGTTTCTTGACAGGCTGTCAAGCAGTTTACCAGTATTACATATCTTGTCTCTTGCAAGGAACTGCTAGTTACTAATCTGCACATACCAGAGCAGAGGTTCAGTGCAAATCACCATAGAAAGGATTACACAATCACAATAAAAGTGTCCTGCATCATCTGGGAATCTGACCCAGGTCCCCTGATTTACAGTCCAACCCTCCAAAAAATGAGCTAACTGGGCAGTATTAGATTCTACTGATACTCATTATTGATCTATATAGGATAAATTATAGAACAAGTTTTCGGTATATTAGTATTGTTGTAATAAAGCACTTAGTCCATTTTATGTTCTATTTTTTAAATTTTTTTAACAGACTGGTTTCAATATATATTTTTGAATGATTATCAGAACTGATATTCTCATTTTCAGAAAGTGACCCAGTCTATGTGGTGTTCTCCAATCGTCATGAGCTGCGAAGAGTTGATGTGGCTACCAGTAATGCTGTGTCATTGATCTCCGGCTTGAGGAACACTATTGCCTTGGATTTCTACTACAAGGATGGGGTACCAGTCTTGTTTTGGACTGATGTCATGGAGGATAAAATATACAGGGGAATAATGGCGGGAAATGGTGAGTTATTTACCTCTGTGGTATATATTTGTGTTAATTTTTTTGAATTCTTATTATTTCAGCTGCTTTCATAGAAAATCTATGTATCAATTAATTGATATTGTTATGATGTTGTGTACCTTGATTAAATGACAAAAAGTTTATTTGAACTTTTGAAAACTTTTTGATGTACCCAGAGGTTTGATATTCAAACACTCATGATACAGTAAGAGTCAAAGATATTTTATTGAAGTTATTACCAAATAATACTCATATTAATAACCAGGTCATTTCTTAATCTTTGTTTTTGATAATAAGATGAAATAATAGTTTGCCTTTAGAATTTTAATTTTTATGACACTAATTTACTTGCAATTGTTGTGATTTAAAGACTTAGCCCTTAATTATTTAGAAAATATAAGAAATTAATGAATTAGATTTAATTTTGATATTTGATGTTTGTTTCAAATTTAACTTCAACTGTAGGTGTAAAATTTGTTGCATCAAACTGCTTTTTGTTACAGGTTTGAAGAATGTTGAAGCTATTATCAAGTCAGGTTTAGCTACAACAGAAGGTGTGGCTATAGACTGGGTGGGAGAAAACATATACTGGGTGGAGAGCAGTCTTGACCAGATTGAAGTGGCAAAGCTTGACGGTTCCAACAGGACTACACTGATAGCTGGGGAAATGACCAGTCCTAGAGCCATTGTTGTTGATCCTAGAGAAGGGTATGTTGCCATTCTTCTTACCTTGAATGATAATACAGATATGATATAAGAACATGTCACTGAATTCTAGTTGCAATAGACTTACTTTGGAATTAAGAATATTTGGCTTTTTCCCTGCTAATAACGTAGGTATAAACAAACTTTTACAGTAACAGCTTTGAAAATAAGTGAAACAGGTTGACTTATCTATTGTGACAGGTAGTGTACCGTGAAGCTATAATAGTGAAAGTTAGTTTGTACTTACAGATTAGCTGGGTTAAGCCACATTGCCAAATTCCGGATAATGTCTTTTATTACAGGCTTAGGTGACTTAAATATAGAGCAATGTCAAGCTATAATGCCTGTAACCTGACCCCAGGCATTATACTGTCAAATTTCTATGCAGTGTGAACAGGCTCTATACTGACAAATTTAGCTCTTTTATTATAGAACCCCTATATTTACAAATGGATGGTTCCAAATTTAAAATGGGACAAATTCATATACAAAAAAATTGTATTATTAAGCTTAAGCTAGATATTCACAGATGGACTCATTTTGTTTTTATAATTTTAACATAACCTGTTTGTCCAAGAAAATACATTTAGTTTAAACAATATTTTATTTATAATCCATACATTTATATAATGAAGTACATAAAATAAAATTTACAGATTGAGTAGGAAGCTTGTAAAGCTTTTTTGAAACTCTCTATACATTTGTATTCTGATTACTTATAGATGTCTTAAAGATAAGACCCTGCTTTTTATAACTGTGAAGCCACAATAATATAATAATCAGGGTAAAGAAGTAATATTATGTAAGACATGTTACTCAAGCAGGAATTTTATTGAATTATTCCCCTTCGTTCACTTAAAGATTTTTTTGTTGTTTTTAAGTTTTTGCTTGGAAGTTATATACAAAGCGTCAAATAGTATTCTTTTGAGACTTAACATTAACCATGAAGCTTTTAAGTTAACCATAATTCAATACAAAGATACCTGCCAATGTGATTTATGTTGTTTTTTTTATTATGTACAGGGCTTTATTCTGGACAGATTGGGATGGACATGACCCTCGTATAGAGAAATGTTCGATGAGTGGGGAAGGTCGGTCAGTCATACACAATATAAGTCCTTCTGAGGGCGGAGGCTGGCCTAATGGTCTGACAGTGGATTTTGACTTTAAACAGTTATATTGGATAGATGCTAGGTACTTGCTTCATTTTATTATTAGCTCCAAAGAAAAAAAAGTGGTGCTATTGTCATGACCATCCTCCTTTTGTTGACCTTTTTCATTAAGTTCTATTTTCTCAGAAACTATGAAAGCTTTTCACTTCTATCTTGGTATACATGTTTATTATGATAAAAGGATGCCATTTCAAAAGGGCAGATTATCTTAACATTACTTTTTGCAAAGTTATGCCCCCTTTTTAATGTTGCTTAAGGGCAGATAATCTTAAAATATGTTTTTGGCAAGTTATTCCCCCTTTCCAGTGTTCCTTTTATTTAACTATCTTTTGAGTGAGTGAGCACTGAGAAAAAGGAGTGTGATGTCCGGACAGATCTGTTGTTGTTTTCTTTTCTTTTTTTTTAAAAGAATTAAACACTTTACATCATAATTTTGAGCATAATGGATTATTATATTTTTTAAATGTTTATTATTCATAATATAATTGTTTTAAATCTTTATTAGACCATTTGCCCCTTACCGCTGTGGGATTGAATCCCGACAGGGACTTTGGATTCTTTCATGTGAGGAAGCTTTCCAGCTAGCTTACGGAACATCGGTGGTTCTACTCAGGTGCCCGTTTGTGCCTGAAATAATGCACGGAAGGGCACCTGAGGTCTTCCTCCACCAGTAAAGCTGGAACGTCGCGATATGACCTATACTGTGTAGATGTGATGTAAAACCTAAACAAACAAACAAATCTTTATTATAATATAATTGTTTTCCATTCAGATCCGAGTCTATTCATACAGTGGACTATTTCGGCAACAATCATCGTCTCATTCTGAAAGGTCACAAGGACATGACCCATCCATTTGCCATGTCATTATTTGGTAACCATGTTTATTGGACAGACTGGAGTACTAATTCTGTTGTCAGGGTAAGTAATGAACAGCTTTTAGTTCCTAATACATTTCCCCTTGCAGCAGCTGAGGGGTTGTCTTTGAGGGTTGAAGCATCAGAATTACAGCAACTGTTTATCCCTGTGTAGTCATACTAAGTGACTAAATGAGTTCAAATAACTGAAGTCTATGCAACCCATAGCTCCATCAGGCGAGCTGGTTTTGACCCCTGGTGTTGCTTTAAGTTTGTAACACCTGAGGTTAGCCAAAATCATCTTTTATTTGACCTGAATTGTGTTTGTCACCATAAAACCAAACAAAAATCCTGATAAGTTTACTTGGTTGCCATTTATAAAAGAATCTGTAACTGGCAATAAAAATGAAAAAAAAAATCCCAAACAATTTGAGTGCTAGAAGGGAATTACAAACTTGTCACAAGTGCATTGACAGAAAAACTTGTAATTATGTGTATGTACCATCTGACTTGACTTTATATTATAGAAAGCTTAATTCTAAAATTTTACAATCAAAACTACTTGGATCTATGACATACAGTTCCAGGTTCAAAGAAGACAAGTGACGGACACAAATAATTAATGTATTGAACTGTAAAATGGCATGTCCGTTGAGTTTGTTTATATACGTAGCTTTGATTAAATTTATGGGATTACTCTGCAAATACATTGTATATATACATAATTATAGTCTTTTGACGATTTTAGGCAAATAAATTCAATGGCTCGAACGTGCACGTTGTTCAGAAGACCATCACCCAGCCATTTGACCTACAAGTGATCCATCCCAAACGACAACCGGCCATGCCGAACCCATGTGCTGAAAACAATGGCGGTTGCTCAGACCTGTGCCTCCTCAACTATAACCAAACTGTTGGATGTCGTTGTCCACACAGAAAACGTCTTGATAAAGATAACAGAACATGTGTTGGTAAGTATAAAATGAGCCGCGTCACGACAAAACCAACATAATGGGTTTGCGACCAGCATGGATCCAGACCAGCCTGCCCATCCGCGCAGTCTGATCAGGATCCATGCTGTTCGCTTACAGACCCTATAACAAGTAAAGAATCTTATAGCGAACAGCACGGATCCTGAACAGACTGTGCGGATGCACAGGCTGGTCTGGATCCATGCTGGTCGCAAACCCATTATGTTTGGTTTGGTCGTAACGCGGCTCAAATGTATATACATTGTACTGAATATTCATATTTCTCAAAAATATTCTCAAAGTTTGTAATTTCTGTCCACACGTTTCTCAGGTTCAAAAGGATAGTGCAGTAATAGAAGGGAATATTTTATTTTGGCATGTAGTGGCTATTTTAGTAGTTATTTATCCATCTGATCATTATTATTATCAGACTTTATCAGTTGGCGATGAAAGAAAGTCAAAGTCTTCTGTTCCTTGGATGGAAGCTTTGAGAGGGAGGAAGTGATAAGCAAAGTAAATCATAAGGGTGAATAATGACTCATAAAGCTTTTGTTTCCAAAAAGTGAATTTGAAATGTTATAAGCAGCAAATAAGAGCCCTGTTTAAGTTATCCATATTAAATTTTAGATATTTTACATGAACACACTTGTTTTTTCAGATGATATTAAGTTCCTACTATTTGTGAAGAACCACGAGATCCGAGGTGTAGACATTAAAAGGGCGCACTTCAACGTGTTGCCCGTTATAACCATCCCACACGTAGACACGCCCACCGCCATTGACTACGATATCAACTCGGACACACTGTACTGGGCAGATAAAGGTTTAAACGTCATCAAGAAAGCTAGCTTAAATGCTGAGGTGGAAACACTTATAGACAAAGGTAAACTTTTCCTTGTTTTTTAAAATTTTTGTGATTTAAATTTTTTTCAAAATTTCTTTGATTTAAATTTTCAAAATTTCTTTGATTTAAATTTTCAAATTTTCAGTGATCACGATTTGATAAATTTAAACATTATGCTTCAGGGCCATGTGTTACTTTTATTCTTTAGCCAGCTGATGGTGGCTGAATCTACTCATGCGACCAGTGCAGACCTAGATCAGCTAGTTCATCTGTACCATCTAATACATGGTCTGCACTGTTCCCTATTCAGTCACAAAATATTTTGAAATTTTACCTAAAAATTAGGAATGGTTAAGTCCAGTTTGAAAAATGGACAAACCCATTTATAGTGAGACTAAAAATAGGATCTGAGCACCACACTAAATACCGTCCTCTGGTATATACGGGACAAGGTGCTTGAATGATTAAATGCTTAAATCTTGTCTTTTCACACAATGGAATGAACTTTAAAACATCTAATTCATCTTTTCACGCCAATTTATATATGATAATGAATGAAAAGTGTCAAAGTGGGCGAAAAAAAAAAGGATATGTGTTTATTTTATGATCAAGATTTCTGCAAGCGTTTTTACTACTCAAACACTGTGTTGAGTTAAATTATAATTATTTTTTTCATACAACTTGACTGGTTTTCTGAATTTTCAGGGCTGAACAACCCGGAAGGTTTTGCTATAGACTGGTTATCTAGAAACATGTATTTCTCATCATATGATCTGACTGCCCAGACTGCTTCCATCTCCGTGGCAACGTTGACTGGTTCTTTTAGAACAGAGCTGATCAGTCAGAATATAGTGCAGCCTAAATCTATAGCACTTCATCCATTACTGGGGTTTGTACTTTGTTTTTGAATTTTAGTTTTTTCAAAGCTGATTGGTTTGGATAAGTAAATAATGAATTTAGTTAAGGCCATTTAGCTGCTCTTAGTTTAGATTGCAAACATTAAATTTGTTAATAATATATTTAAAAATTGGAATGCGAGTATTTACCATTTAGTCTTCATAAATTGAGCGATTTCACAATGTAAATGTTCAATTTTATTGGAATGAGCATTTGTGATTGGCATATTATCTGATAATGGCACTCTTGGTTTAGAGTGACATTCTTCACACATCATTATGTTGTCATTTTAGATAAAGCTTATCATCTAATTGTGTTTTTATTTAAGGGTCATGTTCTTCACTTAATTGTGTTAATATTATAGAGTTATGTTCTTCACTTAATTGTGTTGATATTTCAGAGTTATGTTCTTCACTTAATTGTGTTGATATTTCAGAGTTATGTTCTTCACTTAATTGTGTTGATATTTTCAGATTTATGTTCTTCACTTAATTGTGTTGATATTTCAGAATTATGTTCTTCACTTAATTGTGTTGATATTTCAGAGTTATGTTCTTCACTTAATTGTGTTGTTATTATTATAGAATTATGTTCTTCACTGATGTTAATGGTGCAGATGGTTCACACAAGATATACAAAGCTAAAATGGATGGCAGTGAGTTTGGAGAATTTATGAACGGTCTTACCAACCCAACAAGTATGTGTAGCTGCTTTTGATTGTAACAAGTGCTAAATCTGACAACTTGAAATATCTTACAATGGGACATGTAGTTAATGCCCTTCAAAATTTGTTTTAAAAAATGATTCTTCTGATTGTTCACAAGAAAGATGCAAGAGCCTAATGAAATGTAAAGATGGACTGACTTCTAGCTTTATTAAGGGCCATCTCTTGACCAATATTACTCAGTGCCAATTGTTAAAACAGATCTGAGATACTATGTAAACGAAAACAAATGTGAGAAAAACAAAAAAACTGTTACCGCATTTAATTCTTTTACTTATATTATTTATTATGTTGTCTTTTTTTGTGTTTTTAAAACTTAAAATCTAACCTGTATGTGATATATAATCAGTTTCAATGATTGGTTCCAGGTCTTGCCATTGATTTTCAAGATAATCAGGTATTCTTTATCAACTCTGGGAACCAGACCATCATATCATGTGACCTTGATGGGAAGAACGTTAAACACATTGTCAACAAGAACATAAAAACACCGGAAGCCTTGACCGTGTACAAGGGTTTACTTTACGTGTCTACAGAAGAAATGATCGTGTCTATTAACAAAGATGGTAGTGGTTATCTGGAGCTAAGAGATGCAACACCAAATGTGAATGCCCTATTGTTGTTTGATAAAGCAGCAAGACAGCATGGTTAGTTTGTTATTTATTATACACTTATGATAAGTAAATGAAATATTGATGAAATAGAATATTTTCATTTTCAGTATTTCCACTGTAAAAAAATATTTTTCACTGCAGTGAAACATATTTTCTGTTATGATTTTCACCACCAGTCATTAATTATTTATTTTTAAATCACTTGATGAAAATAAATCACATACTTATACTTACACATAGGAAAAGAAACATGTGAACTGTAAAAACATTAAGAATAACCTGTGCAAATTTGTTCAAGAGATCAGAATTTGAAGCCAACCAAGGTTGAACAATTATCATGTATTATATCATATTTTACGTAGGACATGCATAGACCTGAAGGTTTTCTAGCTAACATCGGTTGAATGATAAATACGTCAAGGGAGGTATTTGAGCAATCTGAGTTGGAGCAAACGTAGTTCACTGTGTAGATCTTCATATGTGTATATTCTAATGGTTTCTCATATTTATCGTTTGGATTCCTAACTATGACCCTGTCCTAAAGACAAAGCCATTTCTAATGAAATCCTAAACTCTTAAGACAATTCTAACTATCCTCTAGTAGTTTAATATAAATAACATTTAAGGCAGTTTTAGTGCACAAAATTTTGAATCAGCATAAACATATTAAAAAAAGACAATGTCAATAAAAAAAAGTATACCAAATTTAAAAATATCATCACAGTCTGTCCGTCTCCTATATAAAATGTACTAGGATACCATGTGCTTGAAAGTTGAAAAACCAAGATAAAACAAATAATAATTAACTAAGTGTCAGGGTTATCTGTGTGTTTGAGTTATCTTTCCAACCAGAATATTGGGATTATTAATTTCTGACCTGTACCTTTACATGCAATATTCAAAATTTGAGCAAAAAAGGGCCATATATATCTTTAATTGCCATATAAGAAATTAATTTTACAGCAATATAAGAAACTTAGCTAGCTCTAAGAAATTTTTCCAACCAAATAGTTACTTTCCATTTAAATTAACCTATTTCCTATTTTGCCAGTGATTTATAATTAAGAAACAATGGATTTTTTTTATGTTCTGAAGAAATGTTTGCCTGCTTTCAGCTTGCAAGGCTTGTTGGTCAACAAGCTATGTGATCACTTTGTGGTCGACAAAATGGGCTATGTAGTTGATAAAATATGCATTTTCTAAAACCTTTTTTTTTCAGTTGGTACCAATCCTAATGACTGTCACCTACCAAAGACAAGATGCTCCCAGCTGTGTCTCCCCTCAGATGCTCTCTTATCACATTGTAAATGTACTGCAGGATTTGACCTTGACTCGGACAATGCTTCATGTGTTGGTAGGACATCTTTTCATTAGCTGTTGATTGAACTTTTTACTTAAAGACAAGCATGTTTCTCAATTTGAAGAATTTATGTGTAGAATTTGTGAAATAACATATTTTGAGTGACTACTTGAAAAAAAAAATCATTTTTCTCAGTCCCCAGAACTGCTGATTGTAAATATACCATTGTATTTAACTGTGTACAGTTTACTTTATGTTAGCATTTTTTTTTATTTGCTTTACAGGTATCAAGTCATTCTTGTTATATGCTAAGGAGAATGAGATACGTGGACAAAAGTTTGAACCCCTCTCCACCCAGGAGGCACTACCTCCAATATCACAAATACAGTCAGCCTCAGCTGTGGACTTTCTCGCCTGTAAGTTTATAAATGAATACATTGTGTTGTATCACAAACATAGTGTTAAGTCACAAGAAAAAGAGAAAAAAATGTTACCTTAGAAAATTTGTAAAAAATTATTTGTTCAAAATATTCTTCAGAACAAAATATTACGATTTGTGTTGAAAACTGTCCATTAAACATGTAGATGCACATATTTCATAAAAATATTCAGCCAATAAAATTAAGTCAATGAATTATGCCCTATTTTAAGAAAATGACAATGGTTTTTGAAAACCTGAAATGATATTATTATGTAAATGAAAATAAATAATCCTTTACAAAAAGAACTAACTGTCTGTATGCTAAATATTGTACAAAAGTTTGATTTCTTTTTACTGATCAGTTTCAGCTATTTAATAGTGAAACCTCAAAAATGACAGTTCTAAATTCAAAAACAGTGCAAGTACATTATAAATGTACAGAACTGTAAAAACATTAATGAATTTGAGCAGTTGTAAAATCTTACAATAAGTTGATAACATAGGTAAAGAACATAAGTAAATGTAAGCTATGTACATGTATTGTTTACTTAGTGCAGTAATAGGTTAAGTCAGTCTAAATGCAGTAATGAGTTAAGTCTGTCTAAATTTAATAGCAGTTAACCAGTTATTGTACTAAGGTGACAGTATGCATCTTTTTACTGAGACCTATATATTTTATTATTTGTTCAGCTGAGGATACTATATTTTGGGTGGACACGAAGGCCAACACCATATCACGAATCAAGCGTGACTTGACAGGTAGAGAAGTGATCATTCAAGATGGTATAAACAGTGTAGAGGGATTGGCTGTGGACTGGATTGCTAGTATGTATCTTTTTCTCTCTATTGTACAACCTCCCTCTGCATAGCAACACCCCTTAGGGGAGACCAAAGATTTTGCGTGTTGCTCCAGAGAGGTGAAATGTATAATTGTGAATGGTAACTTTCGGCCATAATGTTACCATTGTTTAATATTATTATGTATTAGCTTGTCTGTTTTGAAGAAAAAGTTTAGCTAGTATGATATTTGTGCTGTTGTTGCAACCGTGCAAAAATTTTAATGTAGCCCATTTTACAAAAATTGTAAAAGTTATCAACATGAAACTCAGAATACTTGTTTATCAGGTGCATTTGTTTTACAAGGGGTATAATTCTGAAAGCTATAATTTTTGGATTTATGTCCCTTTTTAGTGTAGAATTTTTGTCAAAATTGGTTATTGATAGTTATTGCCCTTAACAGATGGAGTGGTGCTCTTGTTAAAGAGGTAGGACCACTCTGCAGGTGTTATACTAATTTTTAGCTTTAAACAACAACATGGCAGATCTGTGTCATTCATATAGTGCAAGGTCAGCCAGAACTATCCACGTTGTCTGACAAAAACTCTTTAATCTTGAAATTCTCAAAATTATTTGAACTAACAATAGAAATATAAATCAAATAATTATAAAAAATTCATTACCAAAAAATCAGCAGTGTTGTTATGTTTGTTTTCTTGCCTCTTACTGTTGTGTGGTCATATCAATTAAAGGACACAAACATTTCTGCTAGCTAGGCTATGAAAGGTTGGTGGTTCTAATAAGGTACTTGCTCACTCCTGGAAAAAGAGTGTATTTTCCTTTATCAGTAAAGCTTTTATATTCCCTGGAAAAAGACAGTGGAGTGTTTTTGCTCAGTTTTGAGAAATGAATTGCCAAGGTATTTGAATCTTAAATGCAAGCAAGGAATAAATGAAATTTTATATATCAAAACAAGAATGTAGTTGCTTAACATGGGAAGTAAAGATGTTTTCTTCATTTTCAGAGAACATTTACTGGACAGATGCCGGTCATAGCACTATTGAGGTGGCAAAGATTGATGGCTCTAGCCGTTATGTTATAACCAGTGGAGATATGGAGAAACCTAGATCTATTGTAGTTAATCCTGTATTAGGGTAGGTGCATGATTGTATTGTACAGTCAAACCTGTGTATAACAGCAATGATTTTTATTGGAAATAGCTTGATATCATTCATACTCATTTCTTGTGATGAAAAAGCGGGTGAGAAACATGTGCTGCCTGACTGGGACTCGAACTTGAGACCTCGGAATATATTGTATCACGGTTCTAACAACTGAGCTGTCTAGTCGCTTACACACTTTTTCCTCTAATTAGTGAACAGTTCAATACCTTGACATGTGCTATGAGCTGCAAAATAAAATTGTCAAACCTCTCATCCCCCCATCACACCCCACAAACATGATATTTGAGCAACTTATCATTAAACTTTTAGTTCCAAGTGCATAGTAGTATGGAGACACTGCTTAAACCTAAATGGCCTTTGTACTAGAATAAATTGCATTACATATCAAAATGATAACAATTTTGGACTTAAGAAAATTGGGAAAAATATACTTTGTGATGGCCATCTTGAATGCCATCTTGGATTTCTCAGCTGGAACCTCACCAAAAGGAAACTGCTGGTATTTTCCGTTACTACAGACCTTGGCAAGAATTTAAGTGTTCTAATGCAAAATCCTTAATTTCCACAATTAAGGTACTTTTGAGCACATTGTCAATTAACTATAATATCATATGTCTGTGTATACTTTCACTTAATATGCTTTATTTATTTATTTATTTATTTGTTGTTTCAGATATTTATACTGGAGTGACTGGGGACTAGAAGCACGTATAGAGAGAGCCAAGTTGGACGGTTCGGAGCGAGTACATTACGTATACAACAATATAACCACACCATGGGGTCTGACGATCGATTATGAGACACACAATTTATATTGGTGCGATACTGCTAATGATATGCAGGTATGTGTTTTTGTGATGTGTTTCCTGTAAAAAAAATTTAAAAATTTCCCTATTAATTTTAATTTAATTTTTTTTGAAATTTTGAGGGAAGGGTAATTTAAATAATTTATTACATAATATAATAACTTTGCATGAAGTAAGATACCTCAAGTCTCAGAATTAAACAATAATGTAGATATATCATCCTTTCATTATCTAATTAAATGAGCCGTGTCTTGACAAAACCAACATAATGGGTTTGTGACCAGCATGGATCCCGACCAGCCGCGCAGTCTGATCAGGAACCATGCTGTTTGTTTATCAACTCTATTACAAGTGGAGAAACTGACAGCGAACAGCATGGATCCTGATCAGACTGCGCGAATGGGCAGGCTGGTCTGGATCCATGCTGGTTGCAAACCCACTATGTTGGTTTTGTCATGACGCGGCTCAAATGCATGTACATGATATTTATCTTAATTTAACCTTTAATGTTGAGTCAGACAAAATAAAAAATCCACCGGGTACAGTAATTTGGTATATTTTCATTGATGTAATTTGTATTGTAAGCTTCATGAACTTTTCTGTTACCTTTTCTGAATGCCAAAGGTGAGTTAATTATGGTATGAAATAACTTGAAGAGTTTTTATGTGAAAGTCTAGTAATTATTGTTATGCCCCCACAATGTGGGAGCATATAGCGTTGCACTTGTCCGTCAGTCCGTATGTCCCGAAATTTTGTGAACGCAACTCCTCTTAAACCGGATGGCAGATTTTGCTTAAACTTACAGGGATGAACAACCTTAATGTGTAGATGGTAGTAAAGGAAGGAATTTTTGCTGCGGCCAAATTTAACAGAATTATGGCCCTTTGTTGATTTTTTCACTATATACTATGTAGAAATTTTGTGAACGCAACTCCTCTTAAACCGGATGGCAGATTTTGCTTAAATTCCAGGGATGAACAACCTTAATATGTAGATGGTAGTTAAGGAAGGAATTTTTTGCTGCGACCAAATTTAACAGAATTATGGCCCTTTGTTGATTTTTAGTTTTCAACTTGAGGCACATGTAGTCCAAAAAATATTTGACCAAGACTCATAAGATTAACAGAACAGTGGCGTGTGGGAGCATCCGTGTCCTATGGACACATTTCTTGTTTTTTTATGTCATATATTTAACACTTTATTATAATAAGATTTATGGAGCAGACATTATTTTTGTTATAATTTCAGACGATAGCAGCCATAGATTTATTGACCAATCAGAGACATGTGCTGCTCAGACAAACTGATGATTTCAAGATGAAACCTATATCACTGACCATATATAAAGATAAAATTTTCTGGATTGATGGGTAAGAGTTACTTCCCTTTAATATTTTAATTTTGGGATCATTATTCTTTAACCTGCAGAAGTTTTGTAATGGATCTGACCTGCTTAGACTGTGGAACAGTTCATTTGAAGTTTAAGGGGTTTCAGTATCAATATACAAAATGTACAAGAATGCATTGAGCCCCCAACAGTTATTTGATAGAGTCTGGTGATATGGCATGCAAGTACAGATTGGCCTGGCTCTATATTGGTAGCAGAAGCTTACCACTGAGTTGCAACAGGTTTAGAGATTTTTTAAAGGTTTTTGCATTTTTGCTTAAAATTTGTAGCTAGCATGGATTTTTGCTGAATTTATATTCCGTTCCTTCCTCCGTGGTTGAGGGGCTACAGTTGATGACTTCTAATCCAGTTACCTCTCTGGCGTGGGTTCGATCCCCAGGAGATGCTTTGGTAGTTTAGCCCGGAGGAAGGTAGTCTAGTACTGGTGTAACTCACCAGGAACAATGGTTAGGAAACTACCCGTGGAACATCAGTGGTTCTGCTCAGGTGCTGTTTTTGCCTGAAATAATGTACAGAGGGGCATCTGAGGTCTTTCTCCACCATTTAAGCTGGAAAGATGCCATATGATCTATACTGTGCTTGTGTGAAGTGTCTCTTAATAGAATTAATCATTACTGGAGTTTAATGAGGAGGTTGTGAGCTTAATTGGGCTTGAACCCAAGCTCGAAGGGTCAGGAAGAAGAGCCCTTGTCTAATAGGCTACCACTACAAAAGTTAATAAAAAGATAAAAGAAAGTGTTTATAACTATTTATCAATTGGTTTTTAATTGATTTAATTATAATTTTGTATATTATAGAAATTTGAATGGTCCATCTATTTCATCCATTTACTCTGCCTCGAGGGTGGACGGTAGTAATCCAACTTTAATACGGGCTGACCTTGGAGATAAGTTGAAGGACATTAAAGCTTATGACAGAAGTAGACAGATAGGTATGATTGTTATATATTACAAATGTCATAATAATGTAAATGATAAAATTATAGTCAAATCTTGTGTTTCTAATCTTTATTTAAAGTTGTCTGTAATAGATGATCTGTAATACCATAAGTATGTAAAGGGACACCATTTCAAAAGGGCAAATAATTTTAAATTTACTTTTAGCAAAGTTATCCCCCTTTTTTCTATGATTTTTTTATTTAACTACATGTATCTAGCACTGAGAAAAAAGAACTGTGCCGTCCTGGGACGGGTTTTGTTATATTTTGCTCCTTTTTTTAGTGTCACCTGCTACAGAGCAGTGGCAACATACAGGGATCACTTCCCCATCGTCTGTCTGTCCGTCTGTCTGCTCAACCAAAAAGGGCTGTATTTTTGGCCCTTGAACAAAAAAAAGCATTTCAGTCTGTTAATGATTTTTGTGTCTCCTGCTACACAGTAGCTGCAACATGCATTTGACTATCATCATGCGACACATGTGATCACTGATTGCTCTTGTTTTTGTTTTTTTTACATACTAATTATGATGTTTAATGATACAGATAGTAACTTGTGTGCAGAAGATAATGGAGGCTGTAAGGAGCTGTGTTTATATGTTGGTAGTAACAAGGTGAATTGTGCTTGCTCCTACAGCAAGCTTGCAGCAGACGGCAAAAGTTGTGAAGGTATAAAACCACTTATGTTTTCAAGATATATTATGCGAAAACTTGGCATTTGAAAAAATATTGATAATTATTGTACAGTCTCTTTTTAAATGTAAAAAAACCCATCTTTTGAATAAACACTGAGAATAATTTATAATTTTATGCTTTTTAACCATACACAATATAGGTAAACACAATATGAATATATCATTAAAAAACATTCTTTTTTTTTAAGAAAGATCTAAATTGACCTATATAGGCATGAGTAAAACAGTTGACAGTATATTAATATAGCAAAAAGCAGGGAGAAGCATTAAAATTGCATTATATTAATATATATTTGTTATGTTTTCCGTACATTTTTCAGATCACAACGGTTTCCTCATGTTCTCGAAGGTCACACAGATGTCAAGTATTCATCTCGATGATGAGAACGACAAAAATCCTCCGCTCAATCCAATAACTAACGACACGTTTTTACGTAACGTTATCGGCCTGTCGTTCGACTACGCCAACAACATGATTTTCTACAGTGATATACAACGTGGCGATATTCAGGCAGTGTACTTTAATGGATCCAATATAAGAGTGGTTGTCGAAGGTAAGGTTTGATCCTTCAAGTACATGTAGTAATTAAGAACAGTTTATATTGTATATCTAGAAATTATTCCACGCTTTTTAAGTTAGCACTTTTCCGCGGTGGGGACATTTCTGCGAATGTTTATTTCTGCAAAAAAATTGCATGGGACAAATGAGTGAACATTTAAAGCTTTAACCATATAGACTACCATTATGATGTACCACCGTAAAAGCGCCGTCCTTATTAAAAATGTGAAATATTGCTTTCGTGAAAGTTTCTAGGAGTACATTATCAAACATTATTTGATTCCTTGAAAGAATTATGCAAGACTTATTTGTAGATAAAATACAAAGTATGAACTCTTTGAAATCTGTGTAATGTGCAAAATGCGACATATGCACTGCCAAAATATGTTAATATTTAAAGATTTACAAGTGTAGCAGAATCAAAATTATCTATTGCAAATCTTGTATGCTTACACATTTGATTAAGATACCTGTATTATTAGCCTTAAATTAAATACATCCAAAAACCTTGTTTAAATATCCAATAATTTGAAGAAAACAATTGGGGACTAAAAGATCATCTTTGAAACCTTGGATTGTTGTTGTTATTATAAATTTGTAGTTTGCTTTTGTTTATTTGAAGTTTGTTATTGTTAATTTGAAGTTTGTTCATTGTAGGCATAGGATCTGCAGAGGGATTGGCATATGAAAAATTTAATGGTGACATCTACTGGACAAGTTATACAAACTCGTGTATCAGCAAGATCAACGTGAATGACGCGTTAAATAATAAAACTCGTAAACCGGAAGTTGTTATACAGATGTCAAAACTAGATCATCCGAGGGCCATTGTTGTAGACAGTTGTTGGGAGTAAGTTTTGTATATTGATAGAATATCGGCATGCTTGATAAGTGCAGGAGAAATGAATTTTAAGCCCCTTGTGGCTGAGGGGTTGCCTTTAATGGTTGAGGCATAAGAATTGCAGCCATTGTTTATTGCTGCATGACTAAATGGGTTTTTTTCATAACTGGAGTCTATGCAACTCTTAGCTTCAGTAGGTAAGATGGTTTTGACCCCTGGTGTTGCTTTGAAATATGTAACAGCTGCTATCAGTTTCTCTACTTGTAATAGGATTTGTAAGCGAACAGCATGGATCCTGATCAGACAGCGCGGATGCGCAGGCTGGTCTGGATCCATGCTGGTCGCAAACCCATTATGTCGGTTTTGTCATAACACGGCTCATATATGCAAAATTTCAGATCGTTCACTCACACCATTTTCTAAGAATGATTATCATAATTTTAAAGTGTTGCAATGCCTTTCACTTAAACTGAGGTGAGAATAGCATTAAAATATGATTTCTAATCTATTTCTAGTTTATTTCTTAATTATCTTCTGCATATCTTTTTGTTTTAACTGCCTCACTTGATTTATCTTAGAAATTCAAATTCTAAATTTGTTACGCTTTTGGACCAAGATTGAGTTCCTTTAATGATGTATTGTTATTCTTTAGGTTGATTTACTGGACAAATTGGAACAATGAGAAGCCTAGGATTCAACGTTCAAACCTGACTGGTGAACACCCGGAGGACGTTATCATCAAGGATATTCTCACACCAAATGGTCTTACGATTGACCATAAAGCCAAGAAGTTGTACTGGTCCGATGCCAGGTTAGACAAGATAGAGAGATGTGATATGGATGGTTCAAACAGATATGTAAGTTTCGCAGGTTAAAAATTATTTAATACAAATTCATGTAAATTATTGAATACAAATTCACGTAAATTTCTCTGGTTATAAATTATTGAATACAAATTCATGTAAATTTCTCTGGTTATAAATTATTGAATACAAATTCATGTAATTTTCTCAGGTTATAGATTATTGAATACAAATTAACGTAAGTTTCTTGGGTTATAAATTATTGAATACAAATTCATGTAATTTTCTCAGGTTATAAATTATTGAATACAAATTCATGTAATTTTCTTAGGTTGTAGATTATTGAATACAAATTAACATAAGTTTCTTGGGTTATAAATTGTTGAATACAAATTCACGTAATTATACCCCCGCACAACAAAGTTGTAAGGGGGGTATACTGGAATCAGCTTGTCCGTCTGTCCGGCTGTCCGTCCGGCCGTCCGGCTGTCGGTTTTTTCTTGTCCGCCCAATAACTTAAGATTCCTTTGACCCTTAGTCTTCATATATGGCATGGAGGTTAGTCATGATTAGTAGATGACCCCTATTGATTTTGAGGTCACTAGGTCAAAGGTCAAGGTCACAGGGGCCTTGACTTCAAAAAGCTTGTCCGCCCAATAACTTAAGATTCCTTTGACCCTTAGTCTTCATATTTGGCATGGAGGTTAGTCATGATTAGTAGATGACCCCTATTGATCTTGAGGTCACTAGGTCAAAGGTCAAGGTCACAGGGGCCTTGACTTCAAAAAGCTTGTCCGCCCAATAACTTAAGATTCCTTTGACCCTTAGTCTTCATATTTGGCATGGAGGTTAGTCATGATTAGTAGATGACCCCTATTGATTTTGAGGTCACTAGGTCAAAGGTCAAGGTCACAGGGCCTTGACTTCAAAAAAGCTTGTCCGCCCAATAACTTAAGATTCCTTTGACCCTTAGTCTTCATATTTGGCATGGATGTTAGTCATGATTAGTAGATGACCCCTATTGATTTTGAGGTCAAAGGTCAAGGTCACAGGGGCCTTGACTTCAAAAAGCTTGTCCGCCCAATAACTTAAGATTCCTTTGACCCTTAGACTTCATATTTGGCATGGATGTTAGTCATGATTAGTAGATGACCCCTATTGATTTTGAGGTCACTAGGTCAAAGGTCAAGGTCACAGGGGCCTTGACTTCAAAAAGCTTGTCCGCCCAATAACTTAAGATTCCTTTGACCCTTAGTCTTCATATTTGGCATGGAGGTTAGTCATGATTAGTAGATGACCCCTATTGATTTTGAGGTCACCAGGTCAAAGGTCAAGGTCACAGGGGCCTTGACTTCAAAAAGCTTGTCCGCCAAATAACTTAAGATTCCTTTGACCTACAGTTGTCATATTTGGCATGGAGGTTAGTCATGATTAGTAGATGACCCCTATTGATTTTGAGGTCAAAGGTCAAGGTCACAGGGACTTTGACTTCAAAAACTTTGTCTGCCCAATAACTTTAGATTCCTTTGACCCACAGTCTTCATATTTGACATGGATGTTGATCATGATTAGTAGATGACCCCTTTTGATTTTGAGGTCACTGGGATCAAAGGTCAAGGTCATAGGGACTTTGACTTCAAAAAGTTTGTCCACCCATTAACTTAAGATTCCTTTGACCCACAGTCTTCATATTTGGTATGGATGTTGATCATGACTATAGGGTGACCCCTATTGATTTTGAGGTCACTGGGTCAAAGGTCAAGGTCACAGGGAGCTTGACAAACAAAAGCTTTTCTTCTCAATTGCTAAAGAATGTCCTGTCCGCAATGTATTGATTTTGACATTTTCACATTTGAAGCATGTAGAATACATAACTTAGCAATGCACTGGGTTAGTAACCTCAGATTTGGCAGGGAGGTTGTCCTTGAGCTCTAAATGGCCACTGTTGATTCTGACAAAGTGGTATGCGGGGGTATTCACGCCATGATAGTGGCAGTTCTAGTTTTCTCAGGTTATAAATTATTGAATACAAATTCATGTAATTTTCTCAGGTTATAGATTATTGAATACAAATTAACATAAGTTTCTTGGTTATAAATTGTTGAATACAAATTCACGTAAGTTGCTCAGTTTATAAATTATTAGATATAAATTCTACTGATTAGATATTTAAATGTTCCATGTGAAGATGATGACAATATAAGAAAATATCTCAGCAATAGGTAATACTGAAGCCAGTATCATATTGTCTCTTGAATAAATAAAGATACTTTCAAACAATTTAACTGCCGGTAGCAACAGGTTCTCATCATGCAATCAGGGCATACCAAGATCAGTCTGCAGATCCTGACTGAGCTTGGTCTGCTCTATCAGTACATATTTTGAAATTTTACCTAAAATTTATAAATGGTCCGACCCAGATTGAAAGATGGATTTGTCCATTTAAGATATTTAGGGTTAATTTTTGTGTGTTTTATCTGTATTATTTAGGTAATCATCACATCTATACCTCAACATTCCTTCGGTCTCGCTGTTTACGATAACTATCTATTCTGGACAGACTGGATGCTACGCGCTGTCATACGTGCTAACAAATACGATGGCACTGGTATCGTTTGGCTACGTAAAAATCTGGAACGTCAACCAATGGGTATCATCGCAGTAGCGGAAGATAGTGAAAATTGTGAGATAAATAAATGTCATGGAGATAATTATGGTTGCCAAGATAAATGTTACACTGATGTAACGGGCCAGGCATTCTGTCAATGTACCTATGGCAGATTGAAAGCTGACGGCAAAAGTTGTGCATGTAAGTTCATTTACTTTTTCTCTGCTTCCCTTTTTATAAGATAGGTTATAGTGGTCACCGCATCTCCTTGGTTGCTGTGGAAGTCCAAACATGTGCTAATTTGCATACATCATGCCATCTACAAACTAGACTAGATATAACTGTCATTATATTGTTGACTCAAGCTTTGATAGCCATGTGTACAATGTAATGTACTGAAAAGTAAAGATGAAACAATTGATTAATACCAGTAAAAAAAAGTCATGAAAGTAAGTCGCAATTACGAAATGCCAGAAAATGGAATACCACATACTCAGACGGACTATCTGGTCACGCTTGAAAAACTGATTACTACAGGAAAAGATGTTTAAGCGGCAGGATAGCTCAGTCGGTAGAGCCACATAATGGTATTCCCAGGGTTCCAGGTTTGAATCCCAGTCAGACTGCACTTTTATCTCACCCTGTGACAATCCTCTGTATTATTTATAGATGTTGATTTGTTGACCTTGAACTAACCAATTTTTAAATGAAGTGTTTGCCCACCCATATGGTTCATTCAAGTTGTGAGGGTTAAAAAAAACATACATACATTTTTGATCTGTCTGTCACTGAACCATATTGTTTCCTTGGAGTATGATCATAGCAAGTCATGTTATTCTTATGTCTCATATTTTTGCATTCTTCCAAAATTTTGTGAGAAATGTATACTTACCATATAAACAATAATACATTATATACCTATAATATAAAGTATAATACATCTTGAAGGCAATATGACTAAATATTCTAAATTGCTTCTTGAAAATAACGGAGAAGACAAATCAAAATTTGCATAAAATTAAGCTCCCCCCCCACCCCCCTGAAGATGGGTTTTTTGTATTTCTAAATTATTGTCAACTTGATGTGCAGCTATCTTTTAATGGCACACTCATTTAAAGGAACTCCAGTGAAGTGTTTTGACATGACAGGACGGGAAATAATGTTTCGAGATTAATGTCCCATTTAATGGTGGTCTAACTTGTGTGCAAAATTTCAGATAATTTGCTTCCAGAATGATAATAAATGAATAATCTAAAACTGAAAAGCTTGCAACGTTCTTCACTTAAATCAGGCTTAAATAGCATAAAAATACAATTTTTAATTTCTATTTGGAGTATATTTCTTAAATACCTTTTGCATATCTTTCTGTTTTATGTGTGCAAGTTGATCTGTGTAAAGAATTCAAATTTTATGATTTTAGGCTTTTGGGCCGGAGACATTTGAGTTCCTATAAATGGTTTTTTTCTCTCGAATAACAATTTCTGATCAATACAAATTTTAAAAGAAATTGGTGTCTCATAAAATCTTAGCTGCTAAGCTTGATTTTAATTGTTATTATTTTCATATGATGAGTTGAATATAGTTAAATTATCATCACACCAATGTTTAGAATGATACAAAACAATTTCTTACCCGAAGCCAGTAGTTATAATTAATATGTAAACCAACCAATGTTCCCCCTCCAAATCTTTTAAAACAATTTTTTGTTTGTTTTAGTTTTAGATTGAAATAATGTTTGTACAAAATTAATGCATGTTTCTTGAGAACTTCATGCATCTGCTTAATAAGAAGTTTTCAAGAAACATGCATTAATTTTGTGTTCCCTTACCAAACATTTATTTATTTCTGTTAAAATTTGAAATCCGAAGAAATTACCGAATTTCACAAAGGATAAACTTTGGTCTGCATCTAATACTCAAAGAGTTAAATAAAGTTAGAATTTGTAACTTTATAGCAGTCAGTGTAAAAGAAAATTGTTTCATGATTACAACATTTAATTTCTTCTCTTAAGAAAGTTTACGAGCTTCTGTATCATAAAAAAATATGTCTGTGGACAGTTTAATTGTCAAGGAAACATTGCTAAATATTGTTCTGTAAACAGTTCTGTGCAAAATGAGAAAGCTAAAATGAGATGATGAATAACAGCTTAAAAGCTTGCCTGCAAAGTTTCTACATCAAGAATTCCTGGCAGACTGTAAGCCTTGTTATGAATATAAATGAAACATATAATTACCATTTCTATGATACAATATCGTATATGTAAAAAGGTGATCAATTTACAGTGAAGACTGAGAGAAATGACATTAGGGGGAAATGAAATGTTTGAATAAGATAAGACACTAGAGGGTAGGCCTCAATGACTGATTGATTAATATAGCTGGCCGACCTCAAATCATTTACTCTTATAACATTGTGGGGTGAATTTCCCACTAGAGACATTTAGATCTTCCATCTGGACAAGATGATCAAATAGTTCAGAAGCGTTAATGGTTCTACCATTTAACCTTCTGTTCCCCTGGAGTGGGGATGTTGAGGGGGTGGGGGCAAGACGGAGACTCTTTTGCTCAGTGCTGCTGAGTTCAAATCCCCTCTTAGACTTTGGATTTTTTTCATGTGAGGAAGCTTAAGCCAACTAGCTTATGGAACATCGGCAGTTCTACTTAGGTACCCATCTGTGCCTAAAATAATGCACAGAGGGGCACCCGAGATCTTCCCCCACCAGTAAAGCTAACCTTAAAGTAAAACTAAACCCAACCAATAGAACAGAAAAAAAACCAACCCTGAATGATCACAATAAAAAAGTACATTGTTATGGAACAGAATTAGTGCATTTATTCCACCTTGCTTAATGATATCGGAACTTACATTATGCTCTCACTATACTTCTTTATGACAATGAAAACCTGCGTTTTGCTGAATTCAATCATGCCTTATGATTACTGAATGCACTTTCATGTAATTGCAACCTTATGTGTTCCCTACTAAACCATCAAACTCACATATTTTAACATGCTATATGTTTAATTGCATCTTTTATAAAGGTCAACGTATTATGTTTGGTGTTTAAGATAACATTCTTTGCTTGTTCTTGATATTACTATATGTAACATGGTAAGTTTATGTCAGTACCTTTAATTTGCTTTAAATCTGCCACTTATATTGTCGACATTATGTCACAATAAATTATTAATTTTGATCAATAATTGGCGAATTTGATGTGTCTTAGCATTCATATGCTTCAATATATTCACTAATTACAAATATAATGCAATACATGATCACTGCGCAACGACAACGAAGATGACAACGATAGCGATATTATAGTCGCATGTGACAGTACGCACTAAGCAGTTGGCAGTAAGCATAATGCGAGTTGCGATAATTTGTGTTCATATTATGACAGCAGGTGTCGCTTTGTCGGTACATCCCGTTATTTTCCGGATGATCCCGTATTTTGGCACGTGGAGTAAACAAAGTTACGTCCCCTTTATACAGTGGCATATACAGAACAGTGTTAGTTGGAGCCTGACATGTAAAGGGAAAATTTACTGAAAAACAAGAGAACACGATGCGACAGACGAAAAGTGCGTGTTTTTGAAGATTCCGCCAGTATGTGGAAAAAAATGTTATAGATTTCTCTAATAACTCACCCTACAAGTGGCAACTCACCTCTTATACAATTGTTTACACTTCTTTTTGAGCGTGTGTGATAGTCGTATGAGCAATAGTGAGATATACTATGCTCAAACTTACGGTGGCACAAAGGTGACATGTGTGTGTTTTTATTTATCTCGTGCGCACGAGATACTGTGTCGTGGCCACGAGTTACTAAGTCGTGGCCACGAGATAGTTAAGTCGTGGGAACGAGATACTATGTTGTGGCCACGAGTTACTAAGTCATGGCCACGAGATAATTAAGTCGTTGGAACAAGTTACTATGTCGTGGCCACGATAAAGTTTAGTCGTGGCCACGATAAAGTTTAGTCGTGGCTACGAGAAAGTTAAGTCGTGCGAACGAGTTAATAACCAATCAAATTACACTATTTATATGAATTTTCCTAACAAGGATGCCCCCACTTTTCCTGTCCGTAAAAGTGCCATTTATACAAGTTATTGAATGGTCCAAGATTTAGCGTCATTGTGACCCTGATTTCTGACCAAATTGCCTAAAAATATTAGGTGTCATCTACTGATCTTTTTCTAAATCATTCATCAGACAAGGATTTTACATGAAGTATCAAGTTTATCTGACCCGTGACCTCAAACATCCTTATAGGATATCTACTGTCCATAGGCAATGTCCCTACCCAATAAAACAAACCAGGACTAAGTCCCTCTCAAGTTAAGGTATAAACAATGTTAACAGGCCGTTGTACGTACAAAATGACCAATTCTATCATATAATTGTCCCAACAAAGGGCTATAACTTAGTCAAAATTTATGTCTGATTTATGGGCCTCAAGTTCAAAGTGAACACTTCAGTATTTTCAAAGATTAATGTTGCACGTAAATCTTTAAACAGAAATTTTCTAAGTTAATGATGGTGTAATCTGATTTAATTATCTCGTCTGCAAGACATAGTTATCTCGTTCCCACAACTTAAACGACTTAGTAACTCGTGGCCACGACTTAGTACAGTACAAACTTGATTTTTTTTTCTGTAAAATAAAATAAATATAATTTGGCTTCACACAAATATTGTGCTTTAAATCCTTTACACGGTAAGTGGGCAATATGAATATACATGTATAGTATTATTACAAAAAATACATGTATATGGAAGTTTCTTTTGAAGACAGACACAACTTTACTTGACCCGTAATAAGGAAAGCAGATTCCTATACATTATGTGTATGTGTTTTTATTTAAATAAAACATATTTAGTAAGAATTTTATAGATTTCAATAAATTTCTGTGATAAAAATATGTTACTGAAAGATGTGCATAGTATATCATTAAGCACAAATGTATGTTAATGTGGTGGTTTGTGCGAGATGTCTGATCTATAATCAGACACACATATGCCCAACATTTGAGCCGCGTCACGACAAAGCAAACATAATGGGTTTGCGACCAGCATCGATCCAGACCAGCCTGCGCGTCCACACAGTCTGATCAGGATCCATGCTGTTCGCTTCAAGTAGAGAAACCGATAGCGAACAGTATGGATCCTGATCAGACTGCGCGGACGCGCAGGCTGG